TATTTTTTTGCTCATAATAAATATTCCTTTTTTTAAAGGGAGACTCCAGGCACCCAGACCACTTCTGCCCATTGGAGTGGTCTGGGTGCCAAATCCCATCACTTAATTACCTTGCAGGATTAAGTCCTCCTCTATTGGGTGTCTACCAATGACTTTTTGATCGCTTCAACGACGCTGGACGTCCTCACACTCTGCATGCTTTTCTTATGGGGAGGTCTAATGCGCGCAGCCATTGCCACGCATGCACCCACACACATACAGCACCCACACACAGCAACCTCACACACACAGCACCTACACACATACAACACCCACACACACAGCACCCTGACACACACAACACCCTGACACACACAGTACACTAACAGCACCCTTACAAACTCACAAACACAGCACCCTTACAAACACACAGCACCCTCACACACAGCACACTAATAGCACCCTCACAAACACACACATCACACAAACAGCACCCTCACACACACAGCACCCTCACACACACACACATCACACAAACAGCACCCTCACACAGCACACTAACAGGACCCTAACAAACACACACACACAAACACCCCCACACACACAGCACACACAGCACCCTCACACACAGCACACTAACAGCACCCTCACACACAGCACACTAACAGTACCCTCACAAACACACACACACCCTCAGCCACATAGCACACCTCCAGCAGTGTGCGGTGCACACACTAATGCAATAGGCTGCGCACGCCTATGGCTGCTTTACTTTTAGTTACCTGAATATATCCGAGAATATCTGTATCACAACCTGGAGCATATACTTGTTTTTGCAATTAGGGACAACTGACATGTTCTATCGCACACTGTTGCCCATTTCATTATGATTTCATTTAAAAATGGTGCACTATTCCTGATATGTATCATCTACATCTTTATCTTTCTGTACATCAGGCTTTTATGTCATGTTGGATATATGACAACTATGCACCTAAAAAAAATTAATTTAGATTTAAAAAAAAAACCCTGTCCTCTAGCAGTTCCGCTAATCACATAGGATGAGTAGAACTGCTTTGAATCTGATAGCAGCCACCATTGCAACCTGCGCACGGCTTGGACAGCCTGTTGAGAAGAACAACTGTGTAATGCCATGCACGACTTGAACAACCTTGAAATTAGCTCTCTGGCTGATAGTTCTAGAGAACTGTTTTACAGTTGCATCCATTTCTATAAATGTCTGTAGTTGTAAGGCATTCACAGAGCTGATAGTGGGTGTAGGATACTCAGAACCATAAACTTTGCAAAACTGTAAAGTTGTTATGGTGCTTGGTGACCCCTTAAGCTTGCAGTCCATACCTTTGAGCATGCAATTAGTTTCAGCTTGCACTTCTCATAAGTGTGTTTGCATAGGAAATGAACAGTTATGAAACATTGTTGGAAAGTTGCAATGATGCAGTGGTTGCAATGTTTCCTCTTACTGGGACAGCCAGCAAAAGCTGTTGCTTAGACGAGTGGTGAAGAGAGATACAGAATGATTAGAATGTCCACAGAGGGATCCCTTACTAAATAAATGCACCACGACCACTTCAGTGTTTTAAAGTGGTCATGGTGCAAGGATCCTGAAAGTGCAGCATTTTCAGTATGAGATATATATATATATATATCTCCTGGTAATGTAATTCCACCTCTAGCAGCATCCATAGCTCTTTCATAACTCTCATTCCGGGCTAGCTAAAGTTGATTCTGTGAGTATACATACACACACTGACTAGCCACAACATTAAAACCACCTGTCTAATATCGTGTAGGTCCCCCTCGTACTGTCAAAACATCTCTGATGTGTTGAACCATGGACTCCACAAGACCTCTTACCGTGTCCTGTGGTATCTGGTACTAAGTTATTAGCAGCTGATCCTTTAAGTCAGTGGTCCCCAACCCAGTCCTAATGGACCACCAATAATCCAGGATTAATGTATTTCCCTTTTTTATTCAACTGCAGATACTGACAAAACCTGGACTGTTGGTGGTCCATGGGGGCTACGTTTGGGACATCCTACATATGCTCAATAAGATCTTGGGAATTTGAAGACCAAGGCAACACCTTGAACTCTTTGTAATGTTCCTCAAACCATTCTTGGACATTTTTAGCATTGTGGCTGAGTGTATTATCCTGCTGAAAGAGGCCACTACCATCAGGGAACATCATTGTCATAAAGGAGTGGTTACAAACTAATAATCCTGGCCAGCGGCATGTACAATCCATATTTTGCAGGATGGGATCCTAAAGGGCTTGATTTAATCAATTGATTTTCCTGTTGCAGCGTATGAATTGTACATAATTCAGTGCAGAAAGTTTTATGTATTGCCGTCAGAAGAAAGAAGTGATATTAAAGGGAAAATATCGTGCCAGAAAAACAAACTCGTTTTCCTGGCACTATAGATTTCCCCTCTGTCAATGCCCCCTCCCACGGCGCTGAAGGGGTTAATAGCCCCTTCAATTACTTACCTGGGTTTACCGCCGATTTTCCTCGGCGCTGGCTCAGCTCCGCCCACGCTCCTCCAATGGCCGCGCTCACATTAGGATCTCCCCATAGGAGAGATTTATTCAGTGCTTTCCTATAGAGAAAATCTGACGCTGGAGGTCCTCATGCAGAGCGTGAGGATGACCAGCGTCAGATAACGGACCAAAGGTCTGTTTCAATTCTGGAAGTCCCTGTAGTGGCTGTCTGGTAGAAAAACTGCAATAATTACCACTGCATGGTTAAGGGTGATGGGAGTTTGCACCCAGACCACTCCATTGAGCTGAAGTGGTCTGGGTGCCTGGAGTGTCCCTTTAAGGATGTCGTATAAGGGGTAAAGGCAAGGGATAGAGAGATGGCCTTCATGAGAGGCAGCAATCAGACTCGCTAAGAATAAAGCAGCACTGTCACTTTGCAGGGTTTTAATTGATTGTTTTTACTCCCTGTTTTTATTTTCATTTATTAATTATAATTAACCTTAGTTTTTAGTTATACAGAGAATAACATAAGGGCTGCTTTTTCTTATGGGAAAAGTGATCTTTGGCAACTTTTGGCAATGGGCGGAGCTTCCATCAAAGTTCCATTTCAGTAACCAAGGTAATTTACCCACAATCCATCAGTCATCATGGAGAACAAAATGGCGGAGCCTGGATACTGAGATCCTATTCAAGGAATAAAAACGAATAAGGCAGGTGACAAGAGGGAGTATAAATAAAAAATAAATATAGTGAAGGTGCCACTTGAACAGGTGCCAGCAGACTCTGGGGCTGTGTCATGTAATGGATGGCAGTGTCATGTAATGGATGGCAGTGTCATGTAATGGATGGCAGTGGTATGTAATAGATGGCAGTGGTATGTAATGGATGGCAGTGGTATGTAATAGATGGCAGTGGTATGTAATGGATGGCAGTGGTATGTAATAGATGGCAGTGGTATGTAATGGATGGCAGTGTCATGTAATGGATGGCAGTGTCATGTAATGGATGGCAGTGTCATGTAATAGATGGCTGTGTCATGTAATGGATGGCAGTGGTATGTAATAGATGGCAGTGGTATGTAATGGATGGCAGTGGTATGTAATAGATGGCAGTGGTATGTAATGGATGGCAGTGGTATGTAATAGATGGCAGTGGTATGTAATGGATGGCAGTGTCATGTAATAGATGGCAGTGTCATGTAATGGATGGCAGTGGTATGTAATGGATGGCAGTGTCATGTAATAGATGGCAGTGGTATGTAATGGATTGTGTGGTTGTGTATTGTGTGTCAGTGTGTATTGTGTGTCAGTGTGTATAGTGTGTGTATAGTGTGTGGATGTGTATTGTGTGTCAGTGTGTATAGTGTGTGTGGTTGTGTATTGTGTGTCAGTGTGTATATTGTGTGGTTATGTATTGTGTGTCAGTGTGTATATTGTGTGTATAGTGTGTGGTTGTATAGTGTGTGTCAGTGTGTATAGTGTGTGTCAGTGTGTATATTGTGTGGTTGTATATTGTGTCAGTGTATATTGTGTGTATAGTGTGTGGTTGTATAGTGTGTGTCAGTGTGTATATTGTGTGGTTGTATATTGTGTCAGTGTGTATATTGTGTGGTTGTGTATTGTGTGTCAGTGTGTATATTGTGGTTGTATATTCTGTGTCAGTGTGTATATTGTGTGTCAGTGTATATTGTGTGTCAGTGTGTATAGTGTGTATATTGCGTGTCAGTGTGTATAGTGTGTGTCAGTGTGTATATTGTGTGTCAGTGTGTATAGTGTGTGTCAGTGTGTATTGTGTGTCAGTGTGTATATTGTGTGTCAGTGTGTATAGTGTGTGTCAGTGTGTATATTGTGTGTCAGTGTGTGTCAGTGTGTATATTGTGTGTCAGTGTGTAGTGTGTATATTGTGTGTCAGTGTGTATAGTGTGTGTCAGTGTGTATAGTGTGTGTCAGTGTGTATATTGTGTGTATAGTGTGTGTATATTGTGTGTCAGTGTGTAGTGTGTATATTGTGTGTCAGTGTGTACAGTGTGTGTCAGTGTGTATATAGTGTGTGTATAGTGTGTATATAGTGTGTGTCAGTGTGTACATAGTGTGTGTCAGTGTGTACAGTGTGTGTCAGTGTGTATATAGTGTGTGTCAGTGTGTATATAGTGTGTCAGTGTGTATATAGTGTGTGTCAGTGTGTATATAGTGTGTGTAAGTGTGTACAGTGTGTACAGAGTGTGTACAGTGTGTGTCAGTGTGTATATTGTGTGTCAGTGTGTACATTACATTATTTGTGGCTGGGGCTGTGGTTTGTACTCCGCTGCAGTCTATGTTAGCTCGGTTTACGTTAGCCCCGCCCACTAGCTGGACGTGTAATCCGTGCAGTTCGATGGTGGGCGTGGTCCGGAGTGGGCGGTCCCGGGTTCTGTCTCCCCATTGGTTGAGCCGGGGAGCAGCTGTTGGCGGAGTCTGGGTGTCACGGTGACCGGGAAGCAGTGTGTGTCTGCCCGCAGCTCGCTCACCCCGTGCCCGCCATCATGGTGCAGATCGTCCGTGTGCAGACCAAGCCCTTCCCGGACCAGAAGCCGGGCACCAGCGGCCTGAGGAAGCGGGTCACCGTGTTCCAGAACAGCCCGCACTACTCCGAGAACTTCATCCAGAGCATCCTGTCCTGCACCGAGCCCGCCGAGCGCCAGGAGGGGGCGCTAGTGGTCGGAGGGGACGGCAGGTACTTCATGAAGGAAGCCATTCAGCTCATCATACAGATAGCAGCCGCCAATGGGGTAAGCAGTGTCGGTCACAGTCTGCCCGTGTCAGTCAGTCACAGTCTGTCAGTGTCAGGCACAGGCTGTCAGTGAGCCTGTCGGTCACAGGCTGTCAGTGTGCCCGTCAGTCGGTCACAGGCTGTCAGTGTGCCCGTCAGTCGGTCACAGGCTGTCAGTGTGCCCGTCAGTCGGTCACAGGCTGTCAGTGTGCCCGTCAGTCGGTCACAGGCTGTCAGTGTGCCCGTCAGTCGGTCACAGGCTGTCAGTGTGCCCGTCAGTCGGTCACAGGCTGTCTGTCAGTCGGTGGGGGCACGGGCTGTCAGTGTGCCAGTCGGTGGGGGCACGGGCTGTCAGTGTGCCAGTCGGTGGGGGCACGGGCTGTCAGTGTGCCAGTCGGTGGGGGCACGGGCTGTCAGTGTGCCCATCAGTCAGTGGGGGCACGGGCTGTCAGTGTGCCTGTCAGTCAGTAGATGCACAGATTGCAACGGTGCCTACCAGGGTGTGCACAGATTGGGAAAGGTGAGTGGGCAAGCTAAGTAGTTTTGCCCTATCCACCATGTCTACCATGTCTTTTAGAACAAATAGGGATGGGCTCAGGATTTAAATCCAAGCAAAGTGCCTTATCCGGTGTCTAGTGATTGATTCTGAGGGGTAAAACAATTTTCCTCTCCCAGTACAATACAAAGAAAAAAATGTCACTAGTGGCATGTCTGTTATGGAACCCATCAACCTTTTCTTTCTTTAAATTTGTTATTTAGGGACAGCACAAGAGAAGCTGCTTTGCAGGATTCAAGTGCTGCTGCACACAAATCAAGTAAATCCTTGTGGAATCATGCAGCATATGAATGCTACAATTTTTCTTCTATCATCTGTGTGCCTGAAGAAGTAATGTGTTCTGGAAAAATTGGTGGGTCTGGCAAACCTAGCAGGGTGTGGGCCTGTTTGCCCGTCTGCAGGCACCCGAGTTGAACGCCTGCCTATCAGGCCAAAACTATAACTTTGCGTTTACTTTATTCATTACTTGCTAATCTGAATTATTTTTTGTTTTAAGTAATATTTAATAATTTGTGCAGACAATAAAAGTAAGTACCGTAAGTAGGATGTATAACCCGAGTGGGTCTGTGATTCCTTAGCCTTTACAGGCATACCCCACATTTAAGTACACAATTGGACCAGAGCATGTATGTAAAACGAAAATATACTTAAAGTGAAGCAATACCTTTTTTCACTTCCCAATGCATGTACTGCATTGCAATAGTAATTTACAGGAAAAACTGATACTGCAACTGCAGATTTCCAGTGATTTTATTTCCAGCGGGGCTTTTATTCAGTTAAAACAAACATTAAAAAGAAAAATCTCATTCCAGATTGTACCATTTATCTTTAATGTTTTACTCATCTGACAACCTTAAACTGGGCAGAAAAGTAAAATAAACCTGCCCACTGGGCCATTTTCTGTCAATACAGTGCCAGTTTGTATTTGTCCGCACACTTTGTTTAGAAACACCTCTTCATCATTTTAAGCATTTATGGTTAACTTTGAATCCTCACAATTGTGGCTAATGCAGCTAAGCTGCTAAGCCATAGTTATAGAAAATGGCAGGGTAGACCCTTTCACTGGATGGCGCCAATTGCAGAATATGGACAATGTAGGGGCAGAAAAAAATAAAAATTTCAGCTTGGAGTAGACATTAAAAATTTGAGATGATTAACCTGTGCCATGTCAGAAGGTGTGAAACGTTCTTGCCCTAAAGACACTGAACTGAGCTGCTCCGGGCGAGAATAGAACCTTCCATTTACTGTGCACTCGCGGACAGAAGAGGAACGGGAATGTCTGTACTCGTGGGTATGTCTGTACAGCGGGGTGTGCCTGTACTTCATAAACTATATTACAGGGTGACAGAGAGTGTACTGTTTGTGTGAATTCCTACTGTCAGTTAATGCACAGGTTGTGTGAGTTCCTGTATATGGGTGCCTCTCGATGGGCAAACACTGTGCATGGTGTCTGTCTTTCCTTTAGTGTGTGTGTAGATATATATATGCAGCTCACAGCATCTCCTTAAATACTCAGAATGGTGTCCAGACAAATTTTATAGCAAGGTAACCTGTGCAAAACAACCAAGTTCTACAGAAGCATTGTGTATTTTGAAGTTGTGTTCATAACTGTTTAGGTGAAAAGGGGTTTTGTAGCGTCATTGACATTCAAAGGATTACCCAAGTAGCATGATTAATATTCATACTTACCGGTAACTTTATTAACACGTAACCTGCTGTTTGCTAAATAGTAATTGATTACAGATTATGGGGTGCAACCCTTCTGGTACCCAAAGGGTTAATGTCTGTGATTGACCTGCACTATATATACCCCGATAGGCTGCTAAGGGTTGATAATGTAGTCTTTGACATATAATTTGCCTCTTTAAAGTTTAATCCGTTAATCATAGGGAAAATTTTACAGGTTTGATATGCATGGTTTTCATGCTATAAAGGGGGTGCTCTAAGGCAGGCTTCCCCAAACTCCGGCCCTCTAGATGTTTCTGAACTACAACTCCCATGATTCTCAGCCTATCTAGATCATTCATAGAATCATGGGAGTTGTAGTTCAGCAACATCTGGAGGGCCGGAGTTTGGGGAAGCCTTCTAAGGGGTTCTAGAGTGCTGGGCCTCTCTTCCATGGGGTTTGTTTCCAAATAAAATGGTGCTGTTGTAGGCCTATATATTTTTACATCAGTCTTTAGAAAGAATTGTTAATGTCTATATAACAAAAACTGATTTGCATTGATAATATGATGAATATACTACCTTCCCACATTGAGATAGAAAGCACTATAAGAAAATCTTCCTACATTACTTTGACTATACAATAAATATTCCGGGTATTTTTTTGATGTCTGCAGCAGACACTTCATTTCCAGGAGTTTCTCATTTGATCCCAGGATCAGTATAGTCAAGGTCAAACTGTTTCTCATGAATGAGCTTGTTGCCATGGCGAAGCAGCCATTTTAAACGGAAACAGATGAGGATAATATGATGCTCATTGTAGGTGTGCCTTGCAGTTTTAGTGAATGAGAAGCACAATCCCAGCTGGTGGAAGAACCCGATTTTATTGTATTCTCTCTAAACATCCCTAATTTTGAGTACCGTACATTCTTAGGATCTTCCTTATCAGTGATGACTGCAGAGAACACCGACCAACTGTGATTAAAAAAATGAAACAATCTAGTCCACGCATTGTATTCAGTGGAAGCATTGCCCAAATCCAATAAACCCCTGAGCTATGTTGTACATTATTCAGCTTTCTGTTGATAGTGGGAGTTGGATTGTGATGTCCATAGATTCATGCATGGGGGAAAAAAACATGAATGAAGTTACACAAATTAACAGAAGCCACCAGACAACTTCTTTAACTTGGCAAGTAGCTGTATTATATATTTTTTTTTTTTATTATTATTTTTTTAAGTAAACTCCTCTTCAGGTCTCACTTTTGACTCTCTGCAGTGCTCTCATTGAAAGTAATACATTGTAATTAAATCCCTTACAATACTCTTTGTCTGTGTGACAGTACAGAGGAGGATGTATGAAGAAACTGTATGGGATTTTCTACAAGTGCAATGAAATGTTCTAATTTAGGCAATCTATTGCATACTATTCGTTGTCATGGATGACAGCCAATAGATTGTGCAGGGATTTTATTGAAGTGGCTGTGCAGCTTTATAATGCAAGTGTTTTTTTTCATTTATTGAAGAATGTTTATCATTTTTATCATTATTATTAATATATATTACTATGATATTTATATAGCACCATCAAATTCCACAGCGCTTTACAATGGGTGGACGAACAGACATGTAGTTGTAACCAGAAAAGTTGGACACACAGGAACAGAGGGGTTGAGGGCCCTGCTCAGTGAGTTTACATGTTAGAGGGAGTGGGGTAAAGTGACACAAAAAGGTAAGGATAGTATTAGACTAGTGACAGTTGCAAAAGAGGAAAAAAAAATAAAAAAAAAAATATATATATATATATATTATATTCCTCTTCTACAACTGTCACTTTTTTCTTTTCTGGTTACAACTCGTCTGTTCATGTATGTATGTATGTATGTGTGTATATGTGTGTATATATATAATCACCCACGTATTCTGCAGCACTTTGCAATAACCTGTAAGGGGAAGATTACTATCCCCTCCCACCCACGTTGCCTTCTCTCACACTTCCTTCTGCTGCAATTTTTTTTTTGTTTTGTTTAATTAATTAATTTTTTTTCAAACCCATTCCTCGTTTCCACTACCTCCCTCCCTAGCCCAGGTGGCGCGCATGCTCTCTGAGTCTGTGGAATGGTCCAATCACAGCTGCGAAACGAGGTCGGGGGAACTTCTCATAGTGCCCAATAGGGGATATAACATGAAATGTCCCCACTCAGAAGTGATCGAGTAACTCTTTGAATTGAAAGTTTACCTGCCAATGTGTCGGCAGACATCTTGGGTGAATCCTGCTCTAACAGTTCACCTTGTTGCTTTCATCTAAAAGGCAAAACCTATAATGAGACAGGATTTTTTTTTTTTTTACATCATGTAAGATTGAATCAACCATTAATAAGGTAAACATGGAATGGGCGGCAGCACTGTAACATGGCTTTGTAATCTCAGAACACACATTAAATAAAGGGTACAGTGTTCATCAATCCAAATACATGTTGCCCTAGTGAAACTTTGAGTGCAGGGCTTATTCCTGTTTATTAAATTAATAAACAGCATTTTTTTTTCTATACTGTCCCTTTAAACAATCTAGTGTTAGATCCAGTCTTCCACTTGCTGCTGCTCTGTGAAGTTGCTGTGACCTTGCATTGCACTTCACAGACCCCTTGACATTTCAACTGACCTTCCAAGAATTTGGAGTATGGTCTCTCCTTTCAGCTGCCCTTCAGAGAATGCCAGAGTGATACGTCTTTATTCTTTACTTGAATTTCTGATCAGAAACTTAAACATTTGATCCAACTCTTAGCCATTCTTGTAACAGCCAATAAATAGGCTATGTAGTCCTGTTGAAAATGGGTGCTTGATGTGAATCTTTTGTTTGTATTATTTATTTTGAGTATTTATTTGTTGAGCAGCGTGTTGTAACAAAATTTAGGCAACACTGGCTTATTTTGAAAATTTCTCTAACTCTCTATCTTCACACCTGGGTTTATGTTGGCCTACAGTTTGCAATTCACTACAATATCAGTAGTGTTTAGTTAATAAACGCCATATAGTTTCCTTGTGAGTTTGGTTTATAGTATTTAAAGGGACATTTCCTTTTGGGCCAAACATTGTTTCATATTAAAACTGGATTAAGAGAGCGGTTTAACCTCTAAAGTTGAGCTAGTGCCAGGGGCCTTCTGGCACCATAACCACATACACCCATATATAATGTTATTATGGTGCCCAATTTATTCCTTTAACAAACGCTACAAGGTGAATATATCCGTACAACAAACACATTTATTATGCATGACAGATGACATGCTCTCTGTGTTTCAAAATAGAAACCCATATTCCAGGGTACTTCAAAATACTGACAGAGAAAGAAAGAGAGAGACAGGGGGTCAGAAGGTATGTGCCCCTTTCACATGTTGTTGAGGACCGTTATGGTATTTAAGGTCATATGTGTACTTTACCCTGTCATACTTCCCTCACTACTAGTGAATTATGTCCTTCACTAATTAAATGTTAAATTGAAAAAAAAAATAAAAAAAAAATTATATATATATATTTTGTGTGTGTGTGTGTGTAGATCTTTACATTTTTTTTTTAAAGAAGTATTACTCTGTTGCAGCCACAAGATGTTATAGAGAACATAGAATGCCACTTCGGTTGGGTAACATTCTAGCTGTAGGCACCATGCCTGTGTAAACTGAACATGAATTTGCTAGTTTACAGGGTGAGCCCTGTTTGTATTTAAAAAGTAATTTTTATCTGGAGGGATAATATTTATCAAAGTAAAACTGGCACTCCGTGAATCGTGATAACTGCAGCCTGTTTTGTTTACCATGGGCTTCTGCAAGCACAGGGGAAAAGGACATGCCTCCCGAGATCCCCTTGTCCGTGCTATGAATCCCTTTTGTTGTTCTGCAGCCATCACTGTTGGCTATATATTGAGTGATTATTCCTGGGAGTGACTGGAGTATGAATCCAGCAAACGAACCCATGCTTTTTTAGTGATAATTAGACTCTGAAATGTCATATGAGCGAAACTTTGAACATATTTTTAAAACACATGTAATCTGATGCTTTACAATAGAACATTAATACATTTACACCTTTAGGTTGCAGGATAGCATATGGATAGGTTAGGATTGGAACTTTGCTATTTGTTAGGGGAGCAGCAATACATTCTGCCTTCCACCTGGCAGGGTTTGAAAGTATTGCCCAGCAGACAATATGTGCAATTTACGTGCGATAGGTATAAAATCAGCTAATCGTTGCTCGAATACTAAGGAAAATTTCATACCATGCCTGACGTAATGCAGAATTCATAAACCTCCTTGAAAAATAGGCTAACCCTACTTACAAGGCCCTTTCAGGGACTCTCCAGGCATCAATACAACTTTAACGCATTTGATAGATTTTGGCATCTTTAATATGCTGTATTTTTTGCATCCTCAAATCTTTTTTGTTTTTGCACAAAACAAATACGTGTTTTGCAGCATGCTGCTCCATAAGCCTGCCTTGTTAGTGACACCAGAAATACTTTCTTATCAAAGGTATGCACACAGCTCAGCCCCAACAACACACGATGAGTGTCTCTTAAAGGGAAACTTATGGTCACCAAAACAACTGTAACTTACTGAAACAGTATTGGTGTTTAAATCGTGCCGTCTCTCTTCTCTCAGATATTTAGGGGTTAAATGACTAGTCACACCTCACTGCATGTGACTTACACAGCCATCCCAAACACTTCCTGCCAAGAGTTATCTAGTCTTTACACTTCCCTTATTGCACATTCTGTTTAATTTAGAATTTTAAATCTCCAGCTCTGTTTATAGCTTGCTAGACCCTGCAGTGTTTAATTTACACAGCAGGAGATACAAACTTTTAAAGTAAGTTACATCTGTTTGAAAATTAATCAACTTTGTTTTCATGCAGGCTCTGTCAATCATAGCCAGGGGAGCTGTGATTAGGGTTGCATAAACAGAAACAAAAGTGATTTAACTCCTAAATGGCAGTACATTGAGCTGTGAGAATGCAGGGACATGATCTATACAATAAAACTGCTTCATTAAAAGGACACTATAGTCACCAGAACTACATCATGTAGTTATTCTGGTGTCTATAGCATGTCCCTGCAGGAATTTTAATGTTAACATTACTGCCCAGGGACACCTCCAGTGGCCACTCCTCAGATGGCCACTAGAGGTGCTTCCTGAGTCAGTGCTGCAATGAGACACTGAACTTTCCCCATAGAGATGGATTGATTCTGTGCATCTCTCTGAGGAGATGCTGATTGGCTAGGGCGGCGTTTGGCTCTCCAAGGAGAGGAGGGTAGAGCCAGCACTGACGGACCCGTGCTGGAAATAATGTGAATTTTTACTATAAGAGGTCCAGGAGGGACACTATAGGGTCAGGAATACGTGTTTGTGTTACTGATCCTATAGTGTCCCTTTAATTCACAATCTGCCTGCAGACAGTCAGAGAGACTGTAAACAGGTAGTGATATCCTTGTATTTCTCACTGGGTGTCCTCTCCTAATATAGGTTGTTTTGTTGTTCAGATCATAAGTGCTGTCTGTAGATGAGCTGTGTGCATAGATATTTGATAAGGAAGTCTTTTTCTGGCGTGAGGGGGGCTTGGCTAAAGAGGCAGGCTTATGGTGCAGCATTCTGCAAAACATTTATTTCATGGAAAAACTTGAACGATATGAACATGCAAAAAATAAGGCATATTAAAGGGACACTCTTGGCACCCAGACCACTTCAGCTCATTGAAGTGGTCTGGGTGCTGTGTCCCTTTTGTACTTAGTGCTGCAATGTAAAACATTGCAGATCCAGAGAACTGCAATGTGTACATTGCAGCTATAAGTCTCAAGGGCCATCTAGCTAAGCACTTTGTATAAAAGAGCTCCAATGGCTAGATATCAGCTTACGGGCAGGGCTCTCTTACCTCTTGTATTTGTTTGTGTATATTGTACGTTTCTCAACTCATTGTACAGCACTGCGGAATCTGTGTGCGCTTTATAAATTGCAATAATAAATAATAAATAAATAAATAAGTCTGCCCTCAGTAGCTGTCTCCCATATAGCCACTAGAGAACTTCCGGAATCCAAACGGACCTTTGGTCCGTTATCTGATGCTGGACGTCCTCACGCTCTGCATGAGTAAATCCAGCGTCAGATTTTTCCACATAGGAAAGCATTGATTAAAGGGACACTATGGTCACCCAGACCACTTCAGCTTAATGAAGTGGTCTGGGTGCCAGGTCCCTCTAGGGTTAACCCTGCCTGCTGTAAACATAGCAGTTTCAGAGAAACTGCTATGTTTACATTTGGGGTTAAGCCAGCCTCTAGTGTCTCTCTTAAGGACAGCCACTAGAGGCGCATCTGCGACGCTGGAGGCATATTATGCCTCGCTCATGCAGAGCGTCCATAGGAAAGCATTGAAAAATGCTTTCCTATGGACACTTTGAATGCGCGCGCGGCACTGCCGCGCATACGCATTCCGCTGACGTCGGCGGGGGAGGAGAGGTAAGGGAGCCCGGCGGTGGAAGAAGGTAAGTAACCACGGGAGGGGGACCCGGAGTATAGGGTACTATAGCGCTGAGGGAGGGGGGCACCTTAGAAATGTATAGTGCCAGGAAAACGGTTTTGTTTTCCTGGCACTATTAGAGCCCTTTAATGAGGCCAAAACCTGTCAAACGCATTAAAGTAGTGTTGGTGTCCTTTAAGTTGCAGAATTAGTGTGACTGCAGATAAAATTTGGATTGAGTAGAGCTCTACTGCAGTGGTTAAATAGTTTACCATTTTTAGTCATTTAATTTTCTTAAGTTTAAGATATCATGATATGATGTGCTTAATTTGTAAATCCTCCGTTTTAGACCACGTGTTAAATGAGAACTCACTGAATTTTGAATTGACAAGTATACAGGGAGTCCGCTCTTTTGCGAATTCAGCAGTAGTTTTGTAGTAAAACCACTATTGCATTCAGCGTTGGTTTAATAAATAGTCAATGGGGTGCAGTTGTCGGGTTCTCACCAAATCCAGGGGTTGTGATCTATGTGTGCCAGGAACTTGGACTAAATATCGCAGTGCATATAGATACTTTGTAAATAAATATATTGATGTTTTGTAGTCACAAATTAGGAATTGAGATCACATGCCTGGCATTGTTAACATCTACCTTTTCATTCATTATTTTCCTTTTTTTCCCCCTTTCTTTTGCTGAGTCAACAGGTCTTGGCACGGTTTAATATGCCAGCTAAACTTTCTTCAAATCTCCTCTATTTACCATGTGCCACACCTAGCCATGAATTGAAAAGCTAATTGTAACGAATTCACCTGACTAATTTCTCTACCTCAGATAGAGAATCTTGACAAAGAACGTTTTAACCACTTCAGGAGAAAGGGACAGATTACATAACACTCCTAGCACGTAATCTGTCACGAAGGGATTAAATAGAAAATGTCAAAAGAGGGGTTTTATTTGCACAATCAAGTAGCTAACTTAAAGTTAGCAACTGATTTACTGTTTAATATTTTTACAGTTCATGTTTTCCTTTTTTCTTTTCTTTTTTTTTATTATTTGAATATAGAGAATAATCCAGGAATTCCAAACAAGGCAGTTTTATTGGAACCAAAGAACAGAAAGCAACGTTTTGACCCCATAGGGTCTTTGTTTTTTTTTTAATGGCCGACTGGGAAAGGAATTTAAATTAGTTTAACCCCATCATACACTGAGCATGGTACTACGGCACTACTGAAGGGATGGAAGCTCTTATATTATTTTTGTGTAGGTGCATACGCGCACCTTAGGCATCATGGGTCAACAAAGTCCTCTACAATGCAGAAGTGCAGATGAGGTCAGCATGCTTGTGTTTTGTTTTGTTTTTGCAAAAAAATATATTTTAGGTGGAAAACCCAAAATAGGATGTGAGTGGAATACTTAAACATGTAGTACCCCTTCACACTTTTGGGGTATACATTTACAAATCCCATTTATCATTTGAAAAACAAAGAAAATGATACAACAGTGTAATACTGTAAAAAACAATTAGAAACAATATAAACTAGTTTGATAGTAAGGTGTTAGACTCACATTTAAAAGAGCCTTTAAAGATCGTCTCTAATCTCATGACTTCTGTGCTATTAGGCAGCACACCATCACTCCTCTCGATCTCTTCTACATTAAACTTAGAGCGGGAGCCAAAACCAGTGCCGGATCTTCAGTATATCTGGATGTATAACCATCAGCAAGAGATACTTCCTCACCTTGTATAAAACCACAGGGAGACCGCCGCTCTAGTTATAATGTAACATAATGCCCTTAACCCCTTAAGGACACATGACATGTGTGACATGTCATGATTCCCTTTTATTCCAGAAGTTTGGTCCTTAAGGGGTTAAAGGACGGCACACCTCTTATTGAAGCATAGCAGACCTAGATATTTATCTAGTCGCAATATTGATAAAAATAAATTTATTTTTTTTAAAGTACAACCTATGTCCTTATGTCAGCCTCTAAGATGTGTTTTTTGCTTTTTGAAGTTTCTCAACCAGCACACAGTAATTACACTATTGTCTAATGTCGTCTTTGTTATTTTTATTTTTTTTGTAAACTCAAAAAATGGATCGAATTGTAAATGGGGTGCGTTCACTAAATTATTAATCTTATTTTGGGTTTTAACCTAAAATATATTTTTATTTGCAAAATAAATAGCTGCACTTCTGCGTTGTAGATGACTTTATTGCCCTATGATGCCTCAGGCGCGCTTATGCATCTACACATATATGATATAAGAGAATGTGCACTCAGGCATTCCTTCAGTCGTTTTTTTTTTTTTTTTTTATGTTTTCATTTAATGTTTATTACAAGATGAATACCTACAGGAGTGTAGGAGCATCTTGTTTACTGGTTCAAGAGACTGCATTCACACAGTTTTCACTTTTAATGTATTTGGGTGTTTTGGGTTAGACTAAACCTTACTGGCATGGCCCCTCCTCGCTAGAATAAAAAAACACAAAAGCTTGGCACTCACCACACACAGATATACTGCGTTACATACCCTGGTGCTAACCACATTTAGTAGATAAGTCTTGGGAAAAGTAGGTGCACTCACAGGTTTTTTGAAGAAATAATTAGTGTTATTTAATGCATATAAGCAAAAGTGCCAAACTTGTCCTGATCAACGTTTCGACTCCTACCTGGGTCTTTTTCAAGATCTTGTTCTGGTCCTCACCACAGCAAGAATAGCACATCTGTGAAAGCATAGGGATATAGTTGACAGTAACTGCTCCATTCTGATACCAAAATCCGCAAGCATTTTGTCCTCATGGGGTCGATGCGTTAATTGTCCCAGTGGGAGAAAGTGGAAAGAGAAAGGGTTTGTGCATTAACATTGAACTCCAGGCCACAACAGCATCATCTGGGCTGGAGAGAAAATAAGCATTAATATCTCCTAAACCTGTGGATTAGATCATATACCCTAATGATCTCAAATATATTAATTACTAAAAAACAAAAACAAAAAAAAACACACCTGAAAATATATAAGTATATAAAAGTTAATATTATTATTTATGATTTTTTTTATTCCCCACCCCCACCCGATAGATGTAGCCTTTGCATTGCTGCGTTAAGTAGAATACTGTGTAAGGTACAAATGATGACACCTATTTAATCTTACATATAAACACAGGAAAATATATCCTGCAGTATTTATAAATTACCAAAAACATTTAGTTTTAATGCAGGTTTAAAATAACATGCACAATGGTGAATGTCCAAAAATCTGCATTAATGCAAATACTTGTGTTCTGTGCAGCTAACACGACACGTGCATCCTATACACTTACTATTAACTGATTTATGAAGCATCTTTATAAACTCAGCCATTTTGCACCTGGCAGTGACCATATGGAGTGCATAGAGGTAAAAGGAGAAATAAAACAATGGTTATTTTTTCCTTCCTCATTTGCATGGTGTGCCCTGGTTGTGCCTTGACTGAATTGGATTGTGATGTCATTTTGTAGATTTTTAATGTATATTTAAAAGAAAACAGAGCATCACATGAAAAAAGGTTAAAATACCACTAAAGGCTCAACGAAGTGGTCTGGGTGCAGTGGTCCTTTAGTTTTAACCCGGCAACATTGACTTTTAATCAGCTGGCTAGGTATTATACACGATTAAGGCCTGTTATCCAAAATGCATGCTGTTTTATTTCCAATGCAATTTAAAGGACCACTATAGGCACCCAGACCACTTCAGCTCAATGAAGTGGTCTCGGTGCCAGGTCCATCTAGGGTTAAAGGCAGGGACGTTTTAGCCGCGAGGCAAACAAGGCATTTGCCTTGGGCGGCATTTTCCAGGGGGCAGCAAGAAAAGCCGCCCCCAAATGCCCAGGGCAAATATCTTGTTAGCCTTACGGCTAACTGATATGCTGGGCGGGCTCTGAAACTGCTATGTTTACAGCTGTAGGGTTAACCAGTGGTGTATCCTGGTTTTGTGCTGCCCTAGCCTCCTTACCTCCTGGTTTTGTCCCCCCCCCCAGCCTCCTTACCTTTGGGAATGCTGGGGGGGGGGGGGAGGTTCAGTGGCTGCTGGGAGGGCGGCGCTGGCGGACGGCTGGCGAGGGAGCACATCCTCTGAGCTGTCTGCCCAGCTCCCTTGCACGCCGCAGAGTGAGGCTGGGAGCCGGAATATGATGTCATATTCCGTCTCCAAGCCTCACTCTGCGGGCGGCGCGCAAGGGAGCTGAGCAGACAGCTCAGAGGAAATGCTCCCTCACCAGCCGCCCGCCAGCGCCGCCCTCCCAGCAGCCACTGAACCCCCCCCCAGCATTCCCAAAGGTAAGGAGGCACTGCTATGTTTACACTAGTGTTAATCCAGCCTCTAGTGGGTGTCTCATTGACAGCCACTAGAGGCGCTTCCGCGCTTCTCACTGTGAAAATCACAGTGAGAAGACGCCAGCGTCCATAGGAAAGCATTGAGAAATGCTTTCCTATGGACTGTTTGAATGCACATTCAGCACTGACGTCGGAAGAGGGAGGAGATTTCCCCAGCGCCGGGTGAGCCCGGCGCTGGGGAAAGGTAAGCTTTTAATCCCTTCCTCCCCCTTCAGCCCAGCGGGAGGGGGACCCTGAGGGAGGGGGGGGGACCTAAAGACCCTATAGTGCCAGGAAAACTAGTTTGTTTTCCTGGCACTATAGTGGTCCATTTAAACAAATTCTTTTTATGATGATTACCCCGTGAACCCTGTATACTCCATTGGGATACATTGGGGTTTTGCTAATTTTTTTATATAGAGTTTACAAGAAAATAATTAGTAGAGAAAAAAAGGGTACAAGTAAAACTGTGGGAAACATAAACTTTATGCCCACAGTCTACTGGTACATAGTTAGCAATCCATATTGAATAAATAAAATATAACTTTTAATAGGTAATTTAAAATAGTAACACAGTCACAAAATGTCTAATTAGCGCAATCGCTACAACCAAAGCTAAATAGATTCAGCGACAGGAGAGAGACAAAGGAAAATAATAAATATCATGAAATGGTGCCTATATATATTGCTGGCACAAGTAAGAAGGGAAAACGACAGGGTTAAATGAAAAGTAGAGCCCAATATCCCTGTTATGTATCGCTACTCCCGTTTCCCAATCTCACTCAAAATCGATTTCTAACTCTCTATAATAATCGCTAGCTGAGTATGGCTGACAAAAGGTAGAGAAAAAAGTCTAAACTAATAAAGCGTCTAGAACTGAATAAAATAAAATAAATGAAGCAGAGGGGTGGCTGTAAGTTTACTAAATCGTAGTAGGATCGTCCCTGTCTGCCTCCCACACCCTCTGCTGCACTGCACCCGACGCGCGTTTCGCCGTAAAACGGCTTTTCAAGGGAACCGGGTAAACGGACAGCATGTCATTTAAATAGCCCGCCCTCTCTCCGGATTGGCTGATAGTTTAGCCGAAATGAGAGAGGGGAGGGGCAAGTGAGGAAAGTGTCTCAGAGCCCTATCCCTCACAGTTAACCCTTAGAGGTCCAGTATACTGTGAAGAGAAATAGGGCTGGATAGATATATTGATAAATAGATATGGTGAATATCAAAATGAAACGTTTAAATCAAAACCATATATAAATCAAAAATAAAATACATGTAGATAGCTGGACTTAACAAGTTATAAAATAGTAGTGTCCTCGTTGTAATGTAAAATAAAGGGGATAACTACAGGACAAGAAAGCATAAGGTCTTATGTGGTAAAAACCTGAACTAGAAATTAAATTGATATATGGACCATTTGGTAACAAGAAATTTGTCCAATATGTTGCTGAATGGTAAAAACACATAATTGACTACCTTGTACTGCCTATATTGATATAGTGAAATGTAATAACTAATGTTAAGATTTGGAACACTTAATCCAATGGTTATATTCATATTGGAAAAAAAACCATAAATCTAATTCTCCCAAGTTATTTTGGAATCTTGAAGTCAAAGAAAAAAATCAAAGAAAGATTCCCATGTAGAAGAACCATACACTTTTGGCTATCAATGTAAATGACCATAGGGCCACTTTATGATAAAAACTCTTCAATAGCCAGGAGGAAACAGGTCAATTTGTCTTTATGCATGAATAAATGGAGTGAAATTAAACTCCTCATTTAATCCTTTCGGATATAAAGTTTGAAAGGAATAGATCCAACGGGACTCAGCTTTAAGAAGGGCAACGTTAATATCTCCCTTCCGATGGTTCTGAAACATTTTTTGGATCACCTAAAATTTAAGTACATTCGATTTAGAGGCATGATTCAGGCGTACATGCTTGGCAATTGGTGTATCAATGCGTGGGTTCGTAATGGAATTGATGTGTTGTAAAATCCGTCTGCGTAGTTGTTGATAAGTTTTTCCAATGTACTGTAGCCCACATTCACATGTTATGAGATAAATCACATTAGTGGAGCTGCAGTTGATAAATGAATTCACCACTACGTCTTTAGAGGTTCGTTTGTTATGTACAGTTTTTGAGGGAAGTATAAAGTCACAGGCCTTACAATGGCCGCACTTGAAGAGACCTTTGGTTTGAAGCCAAGTAGATGTAATTTGTGCTGGTTTTAGATGGCTATGTGTTAGATGGTCTGCCAGATTCTTTGCTCTGCGATAGGTCATTGAGGGTTGTTCAGTGATAGTATTTTTTAGGCAAGTATCATACTGTAATACTGGCCAGTTTTTACTCAACACCTGTAGTGCTTGGTTCCAGTCTTTGTCAAAGGTGCCTATAAACCTCGTAACCCCTGGAGTTGTAGATTTATTTTTCGGGGGTTTGTGCAGACTTTCTATCCTATCTACAGCTTTAGTTCTTTGATAGGCTCTTTTTAATATTCTGTTGGGGTAGCCAAGATTCTTGAATCTGTTTTTTAATTCCTTCGCCTCCTTTTCATAATCTTCCTGATTCGAGCAGTTTCTTTTGGCTCTTAAATATTGGCCATAGGGTATGTTGGCCTTGATATGATATGGATGGAAGCTCTGCCAGTGAAGCAAACTGTTGGTTGCTGTGGGTTTTCTATAGAGTGATGTAGAGATTAGTCCATCCTCTTGGATAGTACAAGGCCTTCAGTCCCACATACGGGACACTAAACAGACGCTATTGACTTTGGAAAACCTTACAGTGCCACCTTATACGTCTCTGGCGAGTCTAGACGTGGTGGCACTGTATAATAACATTCCACATGATAAAGGTTTAGCAGGTGTAGCTTATTTCTTAGAAAAGGCTGAGACTTTCAATGAACAGGAACATCGGTTCATTTTGCGGCTATTAGAATTTGTGTTAACACACAATTATTTTACATTCAATGGGAAATATTTTTTACAACTCCGGGGCACAGCTATGGGATCATCGTGTGCACCCAGTTATGCCAACCTATTTCTGGGTTGGTGGGAAGAGACCATGGTATTTATTGACTCAAATGCCATTTTCACTTCATCTATATTAAAATGGTATCGCTATATAGATGACGTGCTAATTTTCTGGATAGGTCCCTTTACGTTGTTCAAAGAAATGGTAGACATACTTAATGTAAATTCAATCAATCTTCAACTTACTCACGTCATACATGTTAAACAACTGGTATTCCTGGATTTATTGATTAGCATCCAAGAGGATGGACTAATCTCTACATCACTCTATAGAAAACCCACAGCAACCAACAGTTTGCTTCACTGGCAGAGCTTCCATCCATATCATATCAAGGCCAACATACCCTATGGCCAATATTTAAGAGCCAAAAGAAACTGCTCGAATCAGGAAGATTATGAAAAGGAGGCGAAGGAATTAAAAAACAGATTCAAGAATCTTGGCTACCCCAACAGAATATTAAAAAGAGCCTATCAAAGAACTAAAGCTGTAGATAGGATAGAAAGTCTGCACAAACCCCCGAAAAATAAATCTACAACTCCAGGGGTTACGAGGTTTATAGGCACCTTTGACAAAGACTGGAACCAAGCACTACAGGTGTTGAGTAAAAACTGGCCAGTATTACAGTATGATACTTGCCTAAAAAATACTATCACTGAACAACCCTCAATGACCTATCGCAGAGCAAAGAATCTGGCAGACCATCTAACACATAGCCATCTAAAACCAGCACAAATTACATCTACTTGGCTTCAAACCAAAGGTCTCTTCAAGTGCGGCCATTGTAAGGCCTGTGACTTTATACTTCCCTCAAAAACTGTACATAACAAACGAACCTCTAAAGACGTAGTGGTGAATTCATTTATCAACTGCAGCTCCACTAATGTGATTTATCTCATAACATGTGAATGTGGGCTACAGTACATTGGAAAAACTTATCAACAACTACGCAGACGGATTTTACAACACATCAATTCCATTACGAACCCACGCATTGATACACCAATTGCCAAGCATGTACGCCTGAATCATGCCTCTAAATCGAATGTACTTAAATTTTAGGTGATCCAAAAAATGTTTCAGAACCATCGGAAGGGAGATATTAACGTTGCCCTTCTTAAAGCTGAGTCCCGTTGGATCTATTCCTTTCAAACTTTATATCCGAAAGGATTAAATGAGGAGTTTAATTTCACTCCATTTATTCATGCATAAAGACAAATTGACCTGTTTCCTCCTGGCTATTGAAGAGTTTTTATCATAAAGTGGCCCTATGGTCATTTACATTGATAGCCAAAAGTGTATGGTTCTTCTACATGGGAATCTTTCTTTGAATTTTTTCTTTGACTTTAAGATTCCAAAATAACTTGGGAGAATTAGATTTATGGTTTTTTTTCCAATATGAATATAACCATTGGATTAAGTGTTCCAAATCTTAACATTAGTTATTACATTTCACTATATCAATATAGGCAGTACAAGGTAGTCAATTATGTGTTTTTACCATTCAGCAACATATTGGACAAATTTCTTGTTACCAAATGGTCCATATATCAATTTAATTTCTAGTTCAGGTTTTTACCACATAAGACCTTATGCTTTCTTGTCCTGTAGTTATCCCCTTTATTTTACATTACAACGAGGACACTACTATTTTATAACTTGTTAAGTCCAGCTATCTACATGTATTTTATTTTTGATTTATATATGGTTTTGATTTAAACGTTTCATTTTGATATTCACCATATCTATTTATCAATATATCTATCCAGCCCTATTTCTCTTCACAGTATACTGGACCTCTAAGGGTTAACTGTGAGGGATAGGGCTCTGAGACACTTTCCTCACTTGCCCCTCCCCTCTCTCATTTCGGCTAAACTATCAGCCAATCCGGAGAGAGGGCGGGCTATTTAAATGACATGCTGTCCGTTTACCCGGTTCCCTTGAAAAGCCGTTTTACGGCGAAACGCGCGTCGGGTGCAGTGCAGCAGAGGGTGTGGGAGGCAGACAGGGACGATCCTACTACGATTTAGAAAACTTACAGCCACCCCTCTGCTTCATTTATTTTGTTTTATTCAGTTCTAGACGCTTTATTAGTTTAGACTTTTTTCTCTACCTTTTGTCAGCCATACTCAGCTAGCGATTATTATAGAGAGTTAGAAATCGATTTTGAGTGAGATTGGGAAACGGGAGTAGCGATATATAACAGGGATATTGGGCTCTACTTTTCATTTAACCCTGTCCTTTTCCCTTCTTACTTGTGCCAGCAATATATATAGGCACCATTTCATGATATTTATTATTTTCCTTTGTCTCTCTCCTGTCGCTGAATCTATTTAGCTTTGGTTGTAGCGATTGCGCGAATTAGACATTTTGTGACTGTGTTACTATTTTAAATTACCTATTAAAAGTTATATTTTATTTATTCAATATGGATTGCTAACTATGTACCAGTAGACTGTGGGCATAAAGTTTATGTTTCCCACAGTTTTACTTGTACCCTTTTTTTCTCTACTAATTATTGTTTCAATAGGGGTTACCCCCCATTTTCATCTATAGCAATCTTGACACACTCTTTCCTCTCTCTGTTTTTTCTATCTAAATACAATTTACAAGAAAATGGAGCATCTCATGCAAAAACGATTTAACACAAGTAAAAGGTCAGGGGTAGGAAAAGTTTTAGTGGCACTGTACGGAAACAAGCCATTGAAGTCCCTTCGTGTGCTGATCCTATTTTGTTTTTTTTTAATAAACTTGTGTGTGTGTATATTGCTGCTTGTGTTATACATAGGTCCTTCAGCTGGTTGTATGTGAGCAGTGATTAATGTATATGTTCATGGACCGTTTGTGGTTAAGCACACAGTTACACATTGCTACACACAATCACACACACATTCATAGTGCTGTTTTTAGCCACCCTCCTTTCTACTTACCATTTAGAACCAGGGTGGCTTTTCTGGGGTCCAATGGGGCCAGGGTGGCCAGGTGCAGATCATGGGCAGGTGTTCTGGCTGGATGCTCTCCTTTACAAGTGCTAAGAGCAAGTGATCTGAGATCAGTTCTTAGTACTAACACTGCTACATACCAATTAAGGGCTTCCCCTCTCCACCTGCTGCAATCACACTATAGCAGATATCGTAAGGAGTCCTACTGGGACCGCTGTCAGCCCAGCTCCAGAGGGGATCCTCTGGTTTGGGGTCTGGCTCTTTGCATACCATAGGTTGCTGACCCCTGTAATAGGTGATTTTTAATGTTTAATTTAGTAGTGGAAATTGCAGAAAATTTCCATTTAAAAGGAAGTAGTCACAATTTCTGTTGTAACGTTTTTGATAACTTCCCGTACCGATTTTGCCGTTCCTTCTTTGAAATTTAATTTCACCCTCTTTTCAGGTGATGTGGGACAGCCTTGAGTGCTGATCAAAGGTTAACTGACCGTTTTGCAACAGTTTGTCACATTCCATGTATTGGTGATTTGTGTTAAAGTGCAAAACTGCCAGAAAAATCTGTCTTGTATCTTTTTATAAGGAATGGCATTTCTCCTATACACTGTGCTAGCCAAATCAAGTATTGTTCAGGAATTTTCTTTTACAAATTTAGGGTATATTTGGAATTCTTAAACAACCCTGCTTATCTCTTGGTTGCACTACCATCTTTCCACCACACGATGGAGGTCTTTTACTAAAAATATTTTTCCACATCTTGTGAACAATGTTTCAAGCAGTGATTGAAACAAACATTTGACAACCCCTGTGTTATTATTATTAGCATTTATATAGCGCCAACTTATTCCACCGTGCTTTACAATATTATAAAAATTGTGAAATTTAACAATAAATTAGACAATTATAAAATGTTACAGGGTCAATAGGTTGAGGAGGACCATCCTCAAACAAGTTTTTCTCTTAAACTGTTTTGACACCTTTATAAGTACCACAGATTACAATGCAGAGTGCAAAAATAATATTTAAATTTGTTTTGAACTCCCTGACATCATGAAACCTCACCAATGTATGTTGTTTGCTCTGGCCAAGCTGCAGTACTCTGCATTCGAAGTGTTCCTTTAATTGCCCGGTGGGAATAACAATGCCAATACATTTAAAGGACCTCATTCAGGTTGTTATCCAGTGTGCTCACAGCATACTTTGAGCTGGTTTGTGGGCACTTCTGTTCAATGGCCACACTAGATGGAAACCATTGGACTTGTTCATAACATTTTGGTAGATGGATACACAGCCTGTATCAAAGTCTACAGATGGAAGTATGTGTAACATTTAACACTGAGAACCACTGCAAACACATGGAGTAAAAACCCCCATCCGAGGTGTATAACAAATATTTCAATAAACAGATACTCATACAGATTATTCTCCTTTGTATTAGGCGTTGTAGTTGCATGAGACTGAAAATGGTCCTACGGGATTTTATAGGTTTTTCTCCGATTTAGTTTATACATTTACCATCATTTCTTGAGTACATTGCATCAGTTAAAGGAATACGCCAAGCACCATAACCACTACATTGCACTGTAGTGTCTATGGTTCCAGGAGTGCTCTGGCGCTCCCTATTGTCAGTTGTCAAATTGTACAGTAACAGTATGATTTCTTGTCATCTGCCAGACACTGCTGCCTACCTTCACGACAATCTACAGGGAGCCTGCTTAGGAGCTACCATTAGTTCTCTTGGACTAAATGTACAGTGTAAAGTTAGGTTATTTGCTGATTGTTCCCAGCCAATGAGCTAAGCCTTGCACCATCCTAAAATTGTTGAATTTAAAAGCTTGATATACTTATTTAGATGCTATGGTTACTACCTTCAATAAATTGCTTCTACAATGTTGGTCCAAGCAGTGATCATTCTCATCTCCCCCGGCACCTGGCATTTGGGAAGCCTTGCATTACGTCAAGTGCTGAAGGCAGCAGGCTTGCGAGGAAGCTGTGGAATCTGCACTTCCTGCACATGACTGTGTTCAAGCCGTGTCTTTAGCGTGGGCTGTTGGCTCTGACATACCTTACTTTGTGTTACAGGGACGCATGCAAAATGCCAAACTCTCTGAATGTAATAAACGCTTCTGACAGTTTTTTTTTTTTTTTCTCTCTCTGGAATATATTGGTTAAAGTACATACCAACAGGGAATTATATTATACCGAAGGAACACACCTAGGTAGATTTATTTATTTTTAACCAGAGTGCTTTTATAGGGGGTGAAAAGTTATGTTATAATTATTATTATTTTTAAAAAAAAAAATTAAATTCTTTATTTTTGTATTGACCGCATATGATCTGATTTGACGTTGCCAACAATGTAGTAACATGTTGATGCAGCATATGTTTCTTGCAGGTACAATACAGGTGTCAGTTGTTACATTAGTTTGCCTTAAGGCTCTTATATGAGCACTTGCCGTCCAAAACTTTTTTGTTTTATTAGACAACGTAGAAAGGGAGGAATAGAAGCAATTAAGAAAAAAGGTGTGTGTGGAATAAGAGAGATGTCTATTGTCCCCTGAGAGTGGGATGTGTGGGATTTAACGTTTGAACTTGTTCATTGTGTATTACCCCATTGTGGAGTGCGCCTCCAGAAGGGAAGCGCTGGACCACCAGCCCCTCTGCAGAGCGTTCCCTGTACCCCCAGCGGCTCTGTCTGCCCTTCCCCAAGCCTCCCCTTAGGGCCCCCGGCCAAGGCTCCTTTGTGGGCTGAATGCCATGGCCCCGGCCAGGCTCCCCCGGTGAACCCTTCCCCGCGCCCAGGTCCCCGCTCAGCTATGTCTGGACCAGAGCTTGCAGGTGGCCCAAAGGACAGTACAGTAATAAATAAGAAGAGAAAGAGAGGCTTGAGTGTCCATCACCGCTGCCCGTCCCCTTAGTCAAGTGCATTTAATCCATCCAGGGTTCCCAAACTTTGATAAATTTGGATTCTGAGTTCCGCACTTTGGTAGTGAGTTCGTCCATAACGTGGTTGTCTCCAATTTTCTGAATCACTGCTTGTATGGAGGACTTATATTTTGAGCCAAGCCCCTGCCATTGCTCTCTGTGCTGCCAAAGGTATTAGTCAGTAGTTTATTTGTGTGTCTGGGTAAGCCCTCTATGGGGCGCGATAGGAGGAATGTCTATGGGGACAAGGTTATCAGCATCTGCCGTACCTTGGAGGTTAAGTCCCTGACTCCCTTCCAGAAACTGTGTAGCTTGGGTCAATCCCACCACATGTGGAAATAGGTCCCCTTTTGGCCACACAATCTCCAGCATAAGTATTTTGGGTTTTGACCTACTCTGTGTAAGAAAACTGGGGTGACATACCACCGGAACAGTATCTTATACATTAGTTCTTGTGACATGACTCATACGGAGACTTTGGATGCTGTTTTCTAAATTTCCTGCCACTCTATGCCCTCTAGGGTTTCTCCTATGTCTGCTTCCCATTTATCTATATAGATCATGTCTCCCCATACTGAGGGTTCTTCGCCAAGATGTGTGTACAGAAGGTAGATGAGACTTTTGCGGTAGTTTCCGTCATTGCAGAGGTGTTCAAATGTGGTAGGTGTCTTTGTTGCCCCTTCCTTAACCCTGGGGAGTATGCGAAGTTGCGTATTTGTATGTAACGGAAAAAGTCAGAGGGAGTGAGTGGAGTCTCCTGTCGTAAACGTTCAAAGCGAAGTATAGTGTTCCCTTGCCACAGGTGGTGAAACCTACCTATAGCGGTATACAGGTGATATGGGTGAAGGAGTGCTTGCTAGATTGAACTTCTCCCTGGTTTGGTCCCACAGGTCTAAGGGATTGAGAATCGATGGGCATGCTGTATATCGTATTTCATTAATCCTGCCTCTATGTCTGCCCACCTAGGAGGTGCTTACCACATCACTAGCTGTGCTAGTTGTGCAAGGTAATAGTATAGAAGGAGATCCGGTAGGCCCACCCCCGTCTCTTGGGCAGTATAGTAATCATCAAATCGTTGTGCTATTCTATGTCATTTGCGCTGCCTTATAAAGTCATCTATTGTGGACTGGAGGGTTGCTATGTCTTTGTTTATCTTAATGGGTAGTGCCCGGAATAGGAACGGCAGCCTGGGCAGGATGTTCAGCTTGATGCAGTGTATGCATCCTATCCATGATATGGGTTTTTCCTGGCAGCTCTCTATTTCCAGTTTCAGTGTTCGTAGGAGGGGTGTGTAGTTGGGAGTGTCTGTCCTAAGGTGATCCCTAGGTATTTGAAGGACTTCTTTAGAGGTATGTGGTGGGTCAGTGCGAGCTGGGCTGCCTCAGAGTCTGGTTTGTGAAATGTTAGAGCGTCGGATTTAGTGTAATTGACCTTAAAGCCAGACACTTCCCCGAATTTGTTTTGGAGTAGGGGTTTTGCAGTGAGATTAGAACATCGTCTGTGTAGGCGGGAGTTTTGTAGCATTTTGTCCCTATGTCCATTCCATGGATAAAGTTGTTATTGCGAATCAGGTGTAGGAGTGGTTCGATTAAGAGAGAGAATAGGGTCGGTGAGGGTCACGGAGTAGTAGCTATCCAGCCCCTGCGCCTTTCCCCCCTTGCCACCTTAATCTCATCCTCTGTGTATTCTGCTACTAGTGTTGCCTTCATTTCTGGGGGGTAGCTTAAGTGAACTAAGATAGGTCATTAATTTGTCTTCTTCCATCAGGTTGTTTGTCTCAGATGCGGTGAGCGGTCATATAGACCCGCGTAAAATTCGTGGAAGGCTTTGTAGATGTCTTCAGGGGAGGAGACAATGGCCCGGAAGATGTCCGGATGGCTGAGATGGGTTTGAATCGTTGCCTTGGATGCAGGCACCAGGCCAGCGGGGTGTCTATCGTGTTCGCTCTTTTGTAGAAATAGCGTCTGGAGAGTTTCATTTACCAGGCATCGTCCTCTAGTAATAGCCTTTTAATTTGGTGTCGAGCGTCTTGAAGGGCGGTCAATGTTGCTTCCGAAAGGACAGCCTTGTGTCTCGACTCTAATGTCCAGAGGGATATTTGTAGTGAGAAAAGCGATTTGGGTTTTTAGCTTTTTCCTGTATGAATGCCTGTTTGGAACTCTCAGCTTATTCGGCCATCAGCAATCTCTGCCCATAATTATGAATATTTTGAATATTCAGTGATCGTGTACATTCCTCAAACTACAGCTTAACATAATTGTTTGTTTTTAAGTCCCCTACTAAATTTTACTTAAAGGGTTTCTCCAAACACCATGGCTAATTCAGTTATTTGAAGTGGTCATCATGCCTGCAGTGTATAACTCCACCTCTGGCAGTGTCTTAGGGGCGTCATCAGCTAGCTCAGAGTTCAAGGTTAGCTAATGTCAATGCTATGTACCTTTCGTCTCACAGAACATCAGTTATTTGCTGAGAGCGGTCAGCTGACACTCACGGACAATTAATGTTGGCTTCTGCAGAAACTAGAAGCGCGTCACTGGAGCATCAGAGCCTGGCAGGGGGCCTTTTGTTGCTAAACGGTTAGACCTATTACTGGGAAACAGACTAGGGTTCTTCTGACATCATAGCCACTACAGCTGGCTGTAATTATTATAATACTTGCTGTATGCCTTTAAATTATATGATGCAAAGTACCACATTTTTGCAATCTCAGTAATCTGGTGTAATATGGTCCATTGCAATGCTCTTTACACTCTTCATGGCATGGATTCAGCAAAGCATTGAAAACAACATGTAGTGATTCGAGTCAATGTTGATGTTATAGTATCACACAGTGTGACCATATGGTAATGCTGTGAATCTCCTGTTGCACTCTGTTGGGTTGAGATCTGGTGATTGTAGATGCCATTGGAGTACACTAAATTCACTGTAGGTTCATGAAATCTACTAGACGTGGCCTAGGATCCCTCTGGAAGTGGCCGTTAGAAGATGGTTAGGTTCTGGCCGTAGAGGTATGAATATGGTCCGCAACAATACTGTGGCAGTTTAACAATGCTCAGTTGGTATAGAGGGCCTAATGTGTTCCAAAAACCTATTCCTTACCACTGCCAGCCCAAATCATCAAAACCATGCAGATTGGATCCATGGGTTTATGTTTATACCAAACTCTGGCCCTACCATTTTCATGTTGCAGCAAAATAAAGATTCTTCCGTGTGAGCAACGTTTTTCCAGTATTCAGTAATCTGTTTAATTTTGGTGTGCCTCTGCCCACGCTTTTCTCTTTTTAACTGACCGCATTATGACCCTGTGTGGTCCTCTTCTTCTGTAGCCCATTCAGTTCAAGGTCCAACATGTTTAGCATTCGGAAATGCTCTGCATTGAACCTCTATAACAGTTAATTTCACTTCTTTCTTTTGTCCGCTTGAACCAGTCTTTCTCTACTCCTTTGACCCCTTGTCATTAACAAGATTTCGCCCACAGAACTGCCACTCACTGAATTTTTATTTATCTTTTTGCACCTCTGTAACGGAACCGCTGGCACCCCAACCGGGTACCTTCCGCCGACGGATGCTCCTAGTGCTTTCCGAGGACTCCAAGCACTCTGCCTGACACCATAACCACTGCAGACCCCACGAACCGCCGCAGCTTGGTTGGGATCTCGCCGTCTCCACCCACTCTGGACCCAGGACCAGGGTCCAGCTTCCAGCAGGTCGACCTCTCTCCGAATTCCAGAGAGCAGGAACAGGAACAAGCTCTTAGCAGAGCTTAGTGATTATACCCTGGGGAGTATAGTGATCATAGCAATCCCCAGATTGTAGTTTCTCCAATCCCCCAAACATGAGCCGAAACTTCATGAAGGTACAAGATGATCTGACTCCAATGAGCGTTTATTACTCCTTATATACAAGTTTTCAGGTCGGAGGCACACCCCCTGGACCTGGTGGTAAACTGTGACAAAAGGGACACAAACCAATGGGAACACTAATTAACATGATAACACTCTCACATACACAATGAAATCCCTCCTCTCCATCCTGGAGATAATTGGCTTAAAGCAGTGCAGTAAACTCAATTATCTCCAGGTACAGAAAATATCTACATTTAACACTAACAGCAAAATACATAATTCTTATTTTATTACACAGAACCCCCACATTTAACCTATCCCCAGATAGCTTGGATCGGAGCGCCCAATCTAGGTGAACAGCGCTCAGATCCCATGAACAGAGTAGATTTTCCATGGGGTAAAGCATAGCAAGAGCTGTTGAGAAACCAAGGAGGGACTAAAGCAGTCAGTTCCAACTGGTTTGGCAGTGTGCCTGGGACAACGCCCTGCTGGAGAACAATAGACAGGAAATGGGGGAGGGGAAGGAACACACCTTCCTATGGATTCAAATGGGAAGAAACTGTCTTTAGAAGCCAATAAGCCCCAAATAGTCTTTTTAAATGGCAATACACCCCGGGGCCATAGTCATGAGGAAGGAGGCTGGCAATCAGGCTCCTCCAAAAGCCGGGGGCAAAGGGCAGCTTGTCACCTAACAATCCAGGGACAAAAGGCATTTCGTCACAACCTCTATCTGTAAACTTTTATGAATTACACAAGCCTGCATTTAATGTAAAAGCAGCAGTTTTGGAGATATTCCAACCACCACAACTGATACCAAACACCGAAATCACTTGGATCGCATTTCTTTCTAATTCTTATGTTTTATTTGAGCATTAGATTAACTTTTTGATCATGTCTTTCAAACAGACTTGCAGCTCCATGAATGGCTGATTCTGTATTTTTATCAAAAAGCAGAGCGCCTAACATGACTAACATGGCTACTTCAACCAGAGAAAGAAATAACAGAAAGTGACAAAGAAATAAAGGCAGGGATTTAAATATGGGACACAGGGAGCGTATCGGCCTGCATTATGTGGTGGCCTGGAGACCCCTCTTGTACACTCCTATGCTTTCAGATCATCACATGCCACATTGTGGCCTCTAATGAAAATGGCAGAATCTTGTTTCAGAGAGTATATTTGCAATGGGCTCTTTGTTACAAGTTGCTACAATTGATTTTGTTTTTGACCAAAGTATACCGGTACTTATCTCCTGCACAACACTACGCTGGTTTATTCATGATTGCCAGTGTCCCTTTTAGGGACATATAAAACTATAGGTGAATAACTTGAGGATTACAACTTAAAAGAGCTTATTGTCCTTATACTTACACACATCTCTGTGCTGAGAATGTTTGTTTAATTCCCTGTGTATCTTCAATGTTGAGCATATTATTTAATGGGTTGATTGGTCAACAAAAGCCTTAAATGCCCCCATTCTAGTTCTGATACGTTGAATTTGTCAGTGCTAAACCTTTTTAGGATTATACCTAGAGAACAGATATTGATGCTTCTTTTTTTGCTGGATAAAGTTTGATCCTACTAGATGATTTATTTTATTTTTTAAATCCACTCAGTGTTTAAGTGACCATCCTGTGGTTTACTTCTCCTTGGTTGCATGCATGGTGGACATGGACAGTTTCTATGAATATCTTGTGTCCTCTCCCCATGCCTGATTCAGTCTGTAATTTTTTTTGTCTTGTGACTTTCCTTGGTATATAATCGAAGCTTTACAGATGATAGCCATACTTATTTTTCGCCCTTCCGCTTGATGGATTCCTGTCTCAGAATCTAATCATGACTTTGTTCTTGCCTGACGTTGATTTTATTTGTATATTCTATATTCCTTTTATTCTTGATTTGCCATTATCCCGATTATAAACATGGATTATCTAAGTTCTATCTGCTCACCCTGTAACATCTAGAAGGTAATATCTTCCAAAAGAAGGGGAAAGAGCTAGTTTGTAGACACTTTTGTTGGAACGTTTAGGATCCATTATCTTGAGAATACCGCATTAGTAACCTCTTAGCATTACTAGCTGTACAGTGAATGCTTTTCCCATATACCAGAGATTCTCCCTCTGTCGGAGAGCTCAGAGCTGGTGGGAATGATGACATGATCAGCAGATGGCATTTAAACCTTGCAAAGTATTGTATGGAGTAGGAAACTGATTATCTTTTGAGCTTAATTTATTTACCTCTTGTCAGCACTTTAGTAGTTGTCCATTTCCTAAATGTTTTTCTATTCAGTGATAAGAAAATGCTGAAAATGTATCTACCGTATATCACCCAATCTTTTTAATTTATTTATTATTTTTGTGTGTAATTAAAAAAAAAAAAAAAAAAAATGTTGGATGAGATAGATTTTGTTTTTGACAAATTGTGTGATCATTTGATTCTGTGCCAGTTTGTTTGTTTTCTTGTTATCTGTTGATAATAGCATAATATTCAATCCCTAGACTAACTCTCTATCCAGTACCGTAAAGGTTAAGCGGTCATGTTAATAGTTAATAACAAAAAAACAGGAACAGATCAGGATGTCTCTGTATTGTCCTATTTAATTAGCAGGAATCTGAGATTTACACGCGTGGGTTGGTGTATGAGAAGAATCTAACTCTTGGAAAGATTAGTGTCCTATATCCCCCATCGCAGGGTTAACATCACTTCTAAGGTAAAACATGGGAATGATATGGGATATGCCCCCCTCCCGTGTGAAATTAACAATGCACTCAGCTTCCTCTGAGTTGGCAAGTCACCGAAATAGATCCTGCAACGTGGAAAGGGCAAAACGTGTGTGTGGGATCTTTTCATAGGAATTTCTAACTAGAACGTGACCTTTTGAGGTTTAATAGCATTCTTCACCCCCCCCCCCCCTTAGTTGTTTTTGTTACTTTATTGAACTTTTATCATTTTCTATGTAATGTGGGGAAAGAACAGGTGAAAACCAGGTAAAGTAGATTTTCTCTCATGTTGAAACCATCTCTGGGTTAAGGTTGATATGTTTTGGCACTGAATCAGAGCTACTGAGTGCATCCTGACAAGTCAATACTTTTTCAGTACCTGCGCAAACCGTATTTTGTGGAAGGTGTTGGGACATATACCGTGTGTAGCGTTTTTGAGACTGGCCTTCTAGATATGCTGTTTTAATTTGGCTTTTATTGTGTTTTGCCAAGGTGTAAAGGGAATTGCTATGTATATGTTTAAATATTTTCTCCTGTGACAGTGATCGCTTTGGACAAGTGTAAGGAAACATCTTCAGTTACAGAAACCACATTCGACTGAACGACGAAAGCTATTTTGGTCTCTCCTCTCCCTCACTGAATGTCTTACCGGTGGAGCTGTCATAGCTGCTCCTTAAATCAATAGTTTTCCATTTTTTTTTCTGAAATACAAATTTTGGATTAGTTTTTTTTTTCTTCTTTAAATCTTTCTTTTTATTTTGAATTTTTTGTTCCATAACTTCTATGAAGTAACAATATGGAGGACGATGGCCCCTTTCCTTTACTGACATTGCCAACCATTTCCTACTATGACCAGAAACCAGGAACGAGTGGACTCAGGAAGAAGACCTATTACTTTGAGACAAAGGCGAACTACCTACAGAATTTTATCCAGAGCATATTTTTTTCTATAGACTTAAGAGATCGTCAGGGATCTACCATGGTAGTCGGAGGAGATGGTAGATATTTTAATAGGTCTGCAATAGAAATTTTAGTACAAATGGCTGCCGCAAATGGGGTTGGTATAATGTACCTCTACTTTCATTCGTAGCATTAATTGGAATATGAAAGAAAACTACAGCCACTTTTAATTCACATTTCAGAATATATTATTCTACATTTTGAGTGCTGGAAAGGTATGCATCTCTTGGAAAAAAACTAACGTGCATCCTTATGGCACTCCTTTTTTTTAAACTTGCTAAACGTTTTAGAATTGCAAATTTAAAAAAAATCACATTTGTATTAAGGGACACTCTATGTACGTTGAGAGAGGCTTATAAAAGTGTTGCAAAGTTCTATAAATGGAAACTGAACCATTACATATGTTTCCATAGTGATTGTGCCATTTATGGAACTTTGACACAATTATTGTGTTGTTGTTTCTTATATATATTTTTTTTTTACTTCACTCAATACAGTGTTTTTTATGTGTTAAGAGTTTAAAGTACACTTTTTAGCTTATTTAGATAATAAAGTCTTCATAATTACTATATATATATATCTCTTATAATTCTATTTCTAAATATCTAACGTTTGTTGAATACAAATTAAATACACTGGATACTGTTACCCACAAATATTATAAAATAACCTTATTATTTATGCTATTTAATATACTTCTTACAGCCCCCTCCCAATGCAAATCACATGTAACATTAAACTGGATTGTGTGTTTATATGCTACACGTATTGCCTGTTTTATGGGTTTTGTAATTCATTGATTTGAGTAGTTTTCTTGTATTCTGGCACATGCAGGGTTAGACCTAAAGCAAAGTGAGTAGAGTCTGAAACAAAGTGCTAAGTTTTCTGGAGTGTCCTTATCGGAGTTGGATCATAGCCCTGCAATTTGATGCTCTTACACCACCATCCTGCTGTGGATTTTCGGTTGTGTGTTGAAAGTGGATGTGAAAGCTGCATTCGGAGGCGTCCCATATTGGAAATTTGCAAGGGACTTGTCTTTTAGAACTCTGTATACTGTTACACATGTTTTTCTGTTTCATACTCGAAGGGCAGAGCTTCCTGGTCAGGACACCATGCGGAAATGCCCGTCCATGTTCCTAGACAGCGGCCGGTGTTGTCTTTCGTTGCCAGTTTGCCTACTCCGCATAACTGTAACACTAACCTGTCTACCATTTAATAGCCCAGTTACCTTTGCCATAATTAGCATAGTGCTTGTTTTTTTGAGCTGGAGGGGGGATTCCCACTTTTTCCCCTGCAAAGCACCACTTGACCGTCACAAATGTTCTGTTTCTTACTGTTCTTTTAGTTTCTGATATCACATTGAACCCATAAATGCTGGCAGCGATATACAGGAAAGTGAGATTTCATAGTGTGAACCGTTTGTGCAGCAGAGCTTTCCATGTTCCATAACATTGGGAACGAGATGCTCATTCTCATTCCTAATCCCCTTTTAATCATGTAAACTATTGGAACACTTTAAACCTTAATGGTATTAAATACAAATAAAGCAGCTGTCCCCGATTTAAACTTTAATCTGACTTGCTCATAGCCACTTTTCTGGTGCTTTTTAAAAAAAATTTATTTCTTTGATGGCTTATTGTATACCCCAGGAAAAAGCTCAGATGGACATAAAATATTATAATAAAGAATATATAAAATATATTTTCCAATAGTATAATCCTCTGTAGATTTTACTGGGGTTTGTGCATATGTATGAAATAGAATAAACTGACTGTCTTTAAAACGTAAAGGGTCCCAGACGCCACCTACTTCCTAGTCTAGGTTGCCCAATTATGGGACACTCCAGATCCTTAAAACTACTGAAATATTTTGTGTGAAGAATGTGTCTTTTTTAAATTTTTTATTTTATTTTACAAACATTTTTAATTAAAAATGAACATTCTTAAACCCCCCTGGCTGTCAATTAACTGGTCCTGTTACTTCCTGGTTTGTTTAGCTCAGTGAAGCTAAACTCAAGAACCAAGCAATTGGCCAGAGCACCTGCCTTGCAAATAGTTCATTCGAATTTGGGCAGTAGAGTGTCCTTTAAGCACATTCATGTGATGTTGACTGACTTCAGCTGCTAGACATCCCAGGGAATGCATAAATAGTCATTTCTATCTCAATGTTCTTTACAAACATGCATGAACATTCTATTGGTTTCTGTGGCAACTGCTTCACTATTAGAAGTTTGCTCAATATCTTAATTTAATTGCAGAATTGCAAGAGTTTGAATTTTCTATAAAATGCTTTGGAATGATAATTTTACCAAAACTCTATGACATTGTTCTATGGGCTACACACTCTGCAGCCATTGTTGATAGACTGTATATTTGCTCTGTAATCCATCGATTTGATTTGTTGATCTTGTGATTCAGATTGGACGATTGGTCATTGGACAAAATGGCATTCTCTCAACACCAGCTGTGTCCTGCATCATACGAAAGATCAAAGCAATTGGTGGTATCATCTTGACAGCCAGCCACAACCCTGGAGGTCCCAACGGAGACTTTGGAATTAAATTCAATACTTCTAATGGAGGTGAGAAGAAAATCACAGCTCTTATTAATTAGACAGACTTGTATATCAGTTTGTAATGCATATATTGAAGTTTTACCATTGCTCTATGGACAGCTATCTGTATGTTTTTTTTCTTCAGTAGTCACCCTGTCTAACCAAAACCTTGTGTAAGTTAAATCACTTTAACGGTCCAGATCACATTTATTTAAATGCCCGGCACTTGCTCATAACATCAGGGCTTTGTTGGACAAGAGGTGCTTCAGTCTAATGGGGGCTTAAAGGACCCCACAGATGCAAAGTATACATTGCAAAATAATCACACACAGTGGCAGTAGCATATATAATCTTCTATTTGTAGTAATAATAATAGTGACTGAAGCACCATCACAATAATAATTAAAGACAAGAATCTTCCTTTATAAAGGGATTCTGTTGTCCCAGACAGGAGATTATCCACTTTTAATGTGCTCCTAATTTCACTAAAACACTGTGATTGATAGAAACAAAACAAACAAAAGCTATATATATAGAATTATCATGATTTATATCGTGTATATTGTTACCTCTTTGCTTATTTCATAACTAATGCAGGTCCTGCTCCAGAAGCTGTTACTGATAAAATTTTCCAGATCAGTAAAACTATCGAAGAATATGCTATATGTCCTGATCTCAAAGTGGATTTGGGAACCATTGGAAAACAGCAGTTTGATTTGGAGAACAAGTTCAAACCATTCACTGGTACATATGTTTGATAATTTCTCTATTTTTCTTTTATTTCTTTATTTCTTATGTTTGTTTGTTTTTTTATACTGTAATGTTCATTATGACATAATTAACATATGTGTCAAAGTGTTCCTAATTTTAAATACACTTTGTGCTAACCAAAAGCATACCCGAAGTGTGGTCTTCTCCTTTAGGAGAATCTGGTTGACTACACAGGGTTATACAGGCCTTGTTCTCATTGGCTGAGAGCGGTGTCAGCTGGGAACGTACTTGTGTATCACAGTGATTAGATCTACAGATACATCTGACATCTCCTGCAGGAGAAATGTCTTGCAGCATGGGTGTATGGGGGACCCAGGTAAATTGTCCCAACTTACTGAAATTGGTTTGACTACTTACTGTAGGACAGTGCCAGGGCACTTCAGACACCATAACCACTAAAAGCAATCTGTATTGTCATGGTACTTAGAATGTTCCTTCTCTACCCCCTAAATTATTAGTGATGCAACTTACCCGTACAGTGGGGGGGGGGAGGAGGGAGGGAGATGTAATTAAAGGGACATTGCAAGCAGGTTTTCACTTCTATTTTTTATGACTAAGAATCCAAGAAATGTCATCCATTCTATGGATCTGTATGTATTACTGAGACTATATTATGGATCATTTATCGCCACACTGAACAGCCAGAGTGTTCCACTGAAACCAGTAGTAGGCCCAGGGTTGGCTGAGAGGCCGTACTCACTTCCTGGTCTGTGCAGATGTAACTAAATAAACTCTTACCTCTGGAGGTTTCAGCAAATGAGGGAATTGATGCCAATGTGAATTTAATATTTATTTTGTATGCTTTAAAAATGGAAAGGGTCCAGAGTTTGACATTAAGGAACAAGAGTATAGGAAAATATCCACTTAAACATGCTTTAAAATTGCATCCAAAATAGTTTTTTGTTTTGTTTTTGTTCCAGTCGAGATTGTGGATTCTGTAGAAGCCTATGCAAACATGTTGAGAAATATCTTTGACTTCAGTGCCTTAAAAGAAGTTCTTTCAGGACAAAACCGGCTTAAAATCCGACTTGATGCTATGCATGGAGGTAAGATTTGCTCCTGGCACCAAAATTCACTTTGTAATCACTTTAATGAGGAAAGTGACCACTTCTCCTCCCCTCACCCCAGTAAATGTAATTGAGACTCTTACTGGGGTGAGGAGTGCAGTGGAAAGAAGTATAAGCCACATTGCAGAGTCTGCTGAATATCCAGGTACATTGTGAAACATCAGTGATCCTGATGCTGTGGACTCGATCATGCCTTTTCATGTCTATTTGGAAAGTGTTATATAAGATCATGCACACTCATAGTGATGTTTGTGTGTGATACACTCTGTATCAGAGGTTAACAAACGGTAGATCCCTAGATTTGGATTTTACAGTTGCTCCAACTGCTATGATAGTTTGACAGCCTTTAGAAGGGCACTGTATAATGTAAGCCGCAGGTCTAGAACACGTGGGACACTCCCATTAGCTCAATAATTTTATTACTGCGCCATTCACTTTAATTAATATTGTGTTTATCATTTTAATGGTGGGATTTTAGTAATTGATTTCACACTGAAACCAGTCACACTTTTTTCACTTTTAAGCACCAGTTTTACACAATTTTTAAAAATTTGTTCAGTATTTACAAATTGGTTAAAAATAATGGTATAGATTTCATGTTTAATAATGATCTAGTACAGCTCTTACTCTAGATTACAATAAATATATATCACATCATCAGATATATATTATTAATAATGCACTAATACAATATTATAGAATATTCTTTAAAAAAAAGTTTTTTGTGTCCGATCAGTTGTTGGACCATACGTAAAAAAGATTATTTGTGAGGAGCTTGGCGCGCCTGCAAATTCTGCGGTAAACTGCATCCCGCTGGAGGATTTCGGCGGTCACCATCCCGATCCAAATTTAACCTATGCGTCCGAGTTGGTGGAAACGATGAAGACCGGAGAACATGATTTTGGAGCCGCATTTGATGGTGATGGGGTAAGATATCATATGAATTATTATTTCTTACTTTCTTCCCCAAAACGTTAGACTAACAATGCGGTTTCCAGCCTTGATTAAATATAAGGAAGTGAACAATTTTGGTTAAGTGAGTCATTTGAAAGGCTGAACCACAAATAGTATTTTATTGGCATATGGAATTGGACCACTGATAACCGCATTTGCTACTGGTCAGAAAGCTCTTACACATGTGGAGTCTCGTTACAATTATTTAGTGGGAAGATTATTTCACTTATTAACCTATTTCCTTTTCAAACACCTCTTTAAAGGGTAATTATCACATTACACAATTGAATAAAATATTGAAAACCACTTATTAATTGTGTTATCTTTTTCAAGTGAGGGTTTGTTCTCTTTTATATATTAAACATTTAGCAGCTATCTGTCTTGGTAGTGGATAGTGTGTGGGAAGTTTGTGAGTGGTGTGGTTTCTGTGTGTGGCTGAGAGTAGTGTGTGTGGGGGTGGTGGTGACTGGGAGTGGTCCCCATACATGGTCCAGTGGTTGCCGATCACAGTCAAAGCTCCTTCAGGTCTGCTAGTAGTGCGCTGAGTCAGCAAGTGCTAGCACTGCGAGGGAGTGGACTGTAATCTCCACCCACTAGGTACTGACCACACTGAGATCTTTTGGTCTCCTGATTGGCTGAAGAAGTTGCAGGGGGCCCCTTGTAGCCGTCACTCCGGGCAAACGCTTAAGGGTTACAGCAGCCATAGATTGATAATACAGCAATGTGGATTTCTAAGTTCCATTTTATTTTTCTGATCTTACAAAACACCTTTTATTAAATATAGTGGCTAAGGAAACGTTATAATAAAATCCTGGAAAGTGACAATTCCCCTTTAAATGTAATATTGTGTTCAGATCATGGGAAATTGATCATATCTTTTTTATCTGCAAAAATCTGTCAGTTGTATCTTTTCATTTGGTGTTTCTATTTAGAGATGGGGATGTGATTGTGTTTTGCCTTCTTCTTAGTGTTTATTAAATGTGTAAATAAAAGAATTAATTAATTTTAATCTAAACTTGGAGTTAAAGCCGATTACCTTTTTCATGAATCTCAGTGCATTTCTTAGAAATTACCTCTCTGTTTTCTCTTAGGATCGTAACATGATTCTTGGGAAAAATGCCTTCTTTGTCAACCCGTCTGACTCGGTGGCAGTCATTGCAGCCAATATTTTCAGTATTCCTTATTTTCAGCAAACTGGTGTTCGTGGTTTTGCGAGAAGTATGCCAACAAGTGGAGCCTTGGACAGGTACAAATGTGACGGTGATTATGCAGTGTGTTATTCCTTTAAGATCATGATAAAGAATTTGCTATGTATCCATTGACCTCGACACTGAATTTGAATTTTGAGTTAAATTTTGTTGTAGACATAGAGCAGCTATCTATGCTTTAATGTTTCTTTTATTCCATGTGCTTGGTGTTCATGTTCTACTTCCACTCACAAATTTCAACGATGTCACAAAATTAGCTTTGTAGGAAAAAATGTGACATTATTGCAGTGAAACAGCAAAAACTCACATTCTGAAAAGATACTTTGATAGAGAGCTTTTTGTGACATGCTGCATACGGACATGTATAATGGCCTGGCGTCTGGTGTGTGTTATGTGAACAACTTTTACGTCATTTTGGAAAGTTTCATGTTCAGAGATATTGCAGGAGTTATTTTGTATCTAGCCTCACTTAGGAGTATGAACCCTATGAAGGCAGGCAGGTGTGCTCTGCAGTGCACAAGGCTAAAATGTACAGATATCCAAAGAAGTAGAATTGCAAACAAATCTCTAAAATCTTCATTATACGATTACCTGGTTTTGAAGCAAAACTGCAGCCACATAAACACCTTTTTGCACCCGCTTAGATTGTTAATTGATGCAAAACATACTAATGATTCTGTGTAAAGAGCGGTTCTGTTCAAAGTTCTACAAATTGAGCACTTAGAAGCATCAGTTGGTTTTCATGACAACTGCTTCACAGTTCGTGTTAATGACTGTTACTGAAAATAAACAATCAATTTAATTTGTAAGCACCCAACCTACAGAAGCCCAGAGAGGCCATGTATTTTTTAAAAATGTTCAGACTTGTTACCTTGAGAAAACAAGTTGTTTTATTAACCTAACAATTCATAATAATAATAATAAAAATACTTGACGTCTCTGGGCTTCCGTACCAACCCCTCCCCCCCCCCAGTAAGAGGAATACCTGTTTACCATGTGCTAGATGGTTCAATCACCTGCTGCCTCTACAAAGAGTTTAAGATAATTGGAATGATCTTGTTTACTTCCCAACATGTCACTTTTTTATATGTCTGATCAAGCAACCTTAATTCACAGAATTATAGACGTAAGCACTGACTTAATTAGAATCCGATTGCTGAAAAAGGTGGATGCTCCTTAGACCATGTGTAAAGAGGCTTGAAAAATGCCTGATCCACTTGTGTTTGATTGAATAAACGCTGAACTGAAGGAGCGTGGCGTTTCTTTATTTATTCTAACTTATTTTAATAAGAGCATCTCATAAAGTAAAGTTACACAGTAATATTGGTTGGAAATAGACTCCAGCCTGTCTGGTTTAGTCACACGTCCTTGTGTCTGCAGCTGTTGCAAAAGAAGGTGAAAAATATTAAATAAAAAAATAAGATAAGTTGATAAAAAATATTTTGCGGTATAAAAACTTAATTTTTAATGATATTTTGTACTTTTATTTTTTTCTAATAAATATTAGAAATTAGTTCAGTTTTATTCACTTTTTACAAATGTCCTTACTGGTTAAAGAAATCTATGTGTGAATTGAAATAGACTCTCCTTCTGGTCTAACACTTTATATTCCATCACCATGGCAACAAAGGGAAAACAAAACTTAACAAAAAAATAAATGAAAGTAAAGAGTGGGCTTTTAGGTCCTTAAAACATTTATTACGTCGTGTTTGAGAGAGGTGTAAGTAATATTTTAGATCATGAAAATCTGAAATAAAAACATAGGTTAAAATAAATAAATAAACCTGGTGCTTTAATTATAGCTGTGTGATCTTAAAAAATAAATAAATGAAATTTTAAAAAAGTCTAGCTGTGAAAACCATAATCCAGTATTTTCATTTTCTTCTTTTTAAGAGTGGCAAAAGCTACAAAGATTGCTTTATATGAGACTCCAACCGGATGGAAATTCTTTGGCAATTTAATGGACGCTAACAAGCTATCCCTGTGTGGTGAAGAAAGTTTTGGAACTGGTGAGTTCCCATTATGGGGTTCTGGGTATTTAATCAGGCTTTTCGTTTATTGTGATTTATTATATTTGCTTTGCATTAAAACCTTCACTATTTAACTGCATAGTGGTCAATAAAATGTAAATGGACTGGAAATTTATAGACAAATTGGCCACCAAACATAAAAGTGTAATAAATACCAAATATATTTTTGTGTTGTATTGTCCTTACAAAAACATCAATGTTTCTTTATCTGTATATCCAAAATTTAGATTCTGCATCTTTGCCGTGATTTGATTTTTTTTTTTTTTATTGATTTTTTTTTAAGCACAACCGCTCTGGAGTAGTACATCTTATAATACTGATATAAGCACAACCTCTCTGGAGTAGTACATCTTCTAATACTGATATAAGCACAACCTCTCTGGAGTAGTACATCTTCTAATACTGATATAAGCACAACCTCTCTGGAGTAGTACATCTTATAATACTGATATTAGATTATTAAGTCAGGCTATAGGGGCCCCATGATGTCAGCTGCCCATTCACTAGATCCAGTGTATTCTGCTGAGCTAGATTATGTAGAATCTATAATAAGCTTATAGCTTATTTCGAAAGCAGATTAAGAAAAGCAGAGGCACTAGATTTTGTCCTCGAAGAATTGCTCGTAAACGTAGTTCTCTACTTACCGAGACGCTACAGGTTAAGTACCAATTGCAAATGTCTAAGTCACTGACCATAGAAAGCAGGAGAGAGGGGCGGTGTAATGGGAAACCATCATTTCCCAGGATTTTTAATATTGTTACTTACTTCCTATATTTAACAACTGTATGTTTTGAGATCTGAAAAATAAAATGAATGGTAAACTCCAATCGTCCTCCCCATTATAGCCCGCTGTAGTGGAAAGTCTGTTAGGAGTACCCTAGCATGTTCCCCGGTAATGGAGTAAATTGTTTCACAACGAATGGCCCTCTAACCCAGTCCTGCCGGGCACAGTGGCTCCTCCGAAGCAGGGTTTACAACATCTGACTTTTGCAGAGCTGCTGAAACCGGATTCTGATTTTGCTGATCTTTCATTGCTGACACAAAAAAACTATTGGTGCAGGACCCAACGATATTGGGGTACTGTGACATAGTGGTGGGCTTAAAGGACCACTGTAGTGCCAGGAAAACCAACCCACCCTCTGGGTCCCCCTCCCGCCGGGCTGAAGGGGTTCAATTCCTACATTTCTCCAGCGCTGGATTGCTATATGTGTAACATACAATTAAAAGATAATCTTTTTTTTTCATGTGATCTGTTACCAGACATCAGAAATAATTTTTAATGTTCTATCCAGTGCCGTATTAAGTGTGTATTTTATTAAACCTGGGTAGCACCTTGGTTCGCACAAATAATTCTGGTTGCGCAGACCTTCTTTTCTTTTTGCTTGTTCAGGAAAATTGGTGGTTAAAGCAGGTTTCTACAGCTTTTTTTCCCCTCTATTGTGAAGCATTACCAAGAAACTTGTTAAACCTCACAATCTAAAGCTATTTTATTATAAAACTCTGAACTCTTAAGATGTGTGCATATTCACTTAAGTTACAGACCTGCCAAATCCACGACTTTAAGTCCTTATGGTACGTATGCCTCCTTTAACTTTAAAAACCCAGTCATTGTTCTTGAAGACAAAAAATAAAATTGTAGCTTAAGCGTCAGTGGTGGTAATTGCAAATCTATATGTTACAGTAACTATGCATTGACGGTCAGACCTCAGACCTTCTGTGTCTCATTACTACATTGTCGCCAGTATCATGATTATATATTTTTTTCTTGGCAGTCGTACTCTGCTCTGTATAATTTAGCCTGTCTTCGAGAGCCTGGTCAGAAATTCTTAATCTGGGGTTTTTACCCAGAATTAACAGAGCATGCCAGGCTGCCTATGGTCTCCCATGTTTTTATTGCCTTATGGAGCTTATGAATTAAACAAGATTGAAAAAAGTATAAGGTTAAAGATAATATCTACGAGGTTTTGCAGACACCACAGAGCTTTTCCAGCCAATATTATTCCTCTTATTATGTTCAGTGGGAGCGATATGCAAATCCCATAAACTCCTGCCAGTGCAGATAGTTATGGGATATGTAGTTAAGCCATTGAGTAGTTTTATTCATTAAGTCGCTTTGGAGGTGCACAGACCAAGTTGTGCTTCTCCTCTGACCTCGCTCAACTTGGGGTGAACATACAGCAGCATCAATTTATTTGTATCCCTCTAGTTCTTTGCATCTGTAGTTAATTGGTTGAGAACAGATTGTGACCGGGATCTCTTTGAACAGTAACCCATGCAAGGAGTATTGGCGGTTTTAGTGCTCGGAGGGTTTCTTTAACCCCTTAAGGACACATGTCACACATGTGATTCCCTTTTATTCCAGAAGTTTTGTCCTTAAGGGGTTAATGAAGCCAGGTTTCCGGCTGCAGGCTGTTAGTGCAGTTACTGACCGAGCTACACCCTTCTTGATCTGAGCGAATGTTTTTACAAGGCCCAAAATGGTTATTTCTTTTTTTCTTGGAATAGTACTTTTTTAGAGCACCACACCCACCACCTACCTATAAATCCAGTCCTTGGCGTGACTCGTCCGTCATTATATATGTCTACGTACTTTCTATGCTTTTAAAAGTTGTAATAATTTGTAACACACTTTGCCATATTCCCCCATTTTTTTAAAAACATTTAAACACTTAATCAAATGCATTCATTATAGATTGTTTATAGTCATAATTGACCAATTCTTCCAATTTCCCCAATTTGTGGAGTTTCCGGGGGGACCTGCAATATGTGGAGGTGCTGATTAAAAGTCATAAAATCATATATTTTTAGAACAAGCCGTGACGGGACAAGCCTCCTATTTTCAGCCTGGAACGGAATCAGACCAAATACTTTTTTTTTTTTGGAGTTCTTTGCAATAAGTTCTGTAAAAGTTGGCAAAACTTGAAATTTCTTCATTTTAACTACATTGTAATAATGTATGAATTGTAACTAGAAATACATGGTTACTTGACAAGAGGCTTGCCACACACTTTCCTTCCTGCAGAGACATTCATTTAGGCCTTTTAAATAAACATTTTATTTGGCAATAGCCTTTTGGAAGTTTTTCTTTTTTATACTTTTTAACAGATGTACAAATTAAATTCAGCATTTTATATGGAAGTTTATCCCAGCCAAACATTGCATATGACAGAGGCCCTGTGCTCGTGTTACTCAGCGGCCAAATTAAGTTATGATTGGAGGTTATTTGGAAGTATTGTGTAATGTAGCCCGTCACATTTTTATATCTTGCTTCCAGGCACATGATACCATTTGAGTGTAAAGACTTATTTCCACAATTGATATGATGTCCGATTAGCCTATAAAACCAGAAATGTGATATTATTTAACTCCGTAATGTGTTACACACGGTCTGGCTCTCGAATTTAGAATATATTCACACATGGTCTGCACAGTGTGCTTATAGAAAGGCATGCGGATGTTTCCGTAAAACTTTTAAAGGCACACTCCAGACCAGCATTGTTACTTTATGTAGGAAATGCATAATTAAATAACATGCCACAATAAAAATAAACAATAAAAAAAAAATAAAAATACTGACATATAAGTTACTGGTTTTTGCTGCACATTTCCTAGAATGTAACAAAAACTCTCAGCCAATCATAGTGTCCGTAGCTTTTTCTAGGCAAACTTTGCGTACCCCATAAACCACTGCATAGGTAGGCAGACAGAGTACAAGATTGTGGTGCATTTTGGGTGAGGAATAGTATTTTAATTTAATTTACACAAGATTGACAGCCAGCTTGGAACTAGTTCTGAGCTGGCTAATGACACTCCAATGTTACATATGTGCACAGTTTCACACTGCGCAGAGACTCCAGGCACCATGATCACTTCAAATCACTGCTTGGAGTGACCCTTTAATTTGTCCAGTCTCAGCTGGTCCTTGCTATTTTGCCAGCACATTGTATATGTTTTGGCTTTTTCTGCCTACGTGAATGTGAACTTGGCTTTCACACAGTTTGTAGATGGTAGATTCACCATAAACAATACAGCTTTCAGGATTGTTTAATTGTGAATTCACTGCTTCTGGATACCTGGTGAAGAACTTTGCCATCCGCAGCATCAAAGCTCTCACCATTAGCATCTGGTTATGTTTTGAAATAGAGAGAGCTATAGAGACCCGATCTTTAAGTAAGGAAAATACATTTAGGTTAACACGAGAAGATTATGCTAAATAGTGCTGGTGGTAGCTTAGAACACAGACTAATAAGTGGTTACATTAAAAGCATCTTACAAACATGATGGTGTATAGACATCGGATGTAGGCCATTGATTGCTGACCTTGGTAAATCAGATACATTAGAACTGCATGTCCCATAATGCACAGCCGTCCTTTAGCACGTGGATGTTAGAACTGATTGTAAACTCTTTACTTTTATGTAACAAAAGTAGTATTTTGCAATCTTGTCTATTGTCTGTCTTCTAATTAGCCCCAAGTCTATCTACACTTAACACGTTTTAGTTTTCGGTGATATTATTTCTCCCCTGTCTTAAATCTCGTTCTGGAAGCAAAATACTTGCCTAACGTATTTACTTGGTTAATCTACAGGTTCTGATCATATCCGAGAGAAAGATGGGCTTTGGGCTGTCCTTGCCTGGTTATCCATAATTGCTGTTCGCAAGCAAAGTGTTGAGGAAATTCTGAAAGATCATTGGCAGAAATATGGTCGAAATTTCTTTACAAGGTTAGACATAACAAACCTCTTCCTGTCCTTTTGTGTGGGCTTGTTATTCCATATCCTGATGTAGTTTTAAGATGGAATTATCTTTTCCCCTTATTTTTTAAAGGGCAACTGTCATTTCACAGGAATTATAATATTATGTTTTCTTATCCCTTTATTTAACAAATATTTAGCTGAGAGGCATGAAAAATTCAATTATAAAAATCCACACCTCTTAATTAATTTATAAAATATTTTACCAGGATGGATACATTGAGATTTTACTCGTTTTCAAGTATGTCCTGGGTAATCCTGCAATTGGGCTCCTCCATTTTAGCTCCCTGTCAATCATTGTTATAAACTCTGTTCTTTGCACCTGGCAGTCAGTATGGAGAAAGCATACAGAACAGAGGAGAAATGAAACAATGTGTCTTTTTTTCTTCTTCATTTGCAATTTGTGCCCTACCTGTGCCAGGACTGAACTGGGTTGTGATGTCAAATGCTAAATCTTTAATATACATGTAAAAGAAATCCGAGCATGACGAAGATGGCCAACGGATATTATAGGTGATTTCAGTGGAGTTATCACCAGAGAAGGGGCATTTTTCATTTCAAGTTCTTTTTCGGTAATGCTTTGTCGTAGTTTAAAGTGGTTTGCCACTTTTCAATACCCTCACAAGGGGGCAGTCTTAACTGCATTTGCATAAATAAGTAGCTGATTGCATCCAGAGGGGAAATAAGAAAAAGGAAAGGCGAGCTCTAAAGAAGCACGTGCCAAATGATAGTGCTATAATATATAGAGTAGTACTTTAAAAACATTAAAATATATGCAGACCGTTTCAGAAGGTACGTGCTTGAATCATATACATAATACTTGGTAAATAGTATCTGTACATTGTGCAAACCAAATAACTAGCAAAAGGATAGAAATAGTATATTTTGGAGATTTTTTTTTTTATATAACTCTACACAATCAGGTATACACATATGCATGGTAAACATGCAGGCATGTACTATCAATCATTGTTAGATCTGGTGCTTGGAATCATTGGGGGCCTAATGATACATACACAACCCTCAACTGGGAGCCAACTTAAAATGTGTGTAGGATGTTATATGACTTTTTTTTTTTTTAATGTTCTGCAGGTACGACTATGAAGAGGTCGCTGCGGATGGAGCTAATCAAATGATGAAGGACCTTGAAACCTTGATGTTTGATCGCTCGTTTATTGGTCAACAACTTTCTGTTGGAGATAAAGTTTACACAGTGGAGAAAGCTGATAATTTTGAGTACAGTGATCCTGTGGATGGGAGTATCTCCAGAAACCAGGTGAGAAACTGGGATTGTGGGTAGGAATTACCTTTGCTGGTGAACGTGCATTTTAGCAAATATTATATTTATCTATATTGCAGTATAGTAATGTATATTGTTAATTACCATCCCCCTTCTACTAGGGCTTAAGACTCATCTTTACAGACGGATCCCGTATCATTTTCAGACTTAGTGGTACTGGAAGCGCTGGAGCCACCATCAGGCTATATATAGACAGCTATGAGAAGGATGCTCCAAAAATATATGAAGACCCTCAGGTAAACGCACCATAACAGCTTAACTGTATGTATACAGGTCACCACACAATGCTATAACTAATATATGATTAACTTAAAATACTGTAATCTCTGTTCCACGCCAAAAGATATAATACATTTTGGGAGCAGTTTTAACTACTCTCTCCCTCTCTGTCCCGCTTTAATTTTGGAGTTTTATAATATTTTTATTTATTTAGTGAATCTATTTTGTATTTGTTTGTGTTTTTATACTCTTGCTTTTGTGAAAGCAGAAAACTCTAAACAGCTGTCTAAAAAGCAATAAATAGATGTTCCCATTTGCCCCCCTTGCCATAACGGAGTGAATGGTTTGAATGTTGGAGGGTCTGTGGTGCATTATTAAATTGTTAGACTAAGCTCTGACTGTGGTGCTGCAGCTATTGTAGTTAATATGCTTTGTGATCCACAGGTCATCTTAGTACAGGAAAGCATAGGCGTGAAATCCTAATACATTCGTAATTATTAATGCCTTTCTCATGCTCTGAAGACGGCGTGTGTGCCATTGCCAGATTTGAATTCCTTCTTGCGATTTGCTGTGGGTTTTGGCTTTGATCCGCTTCCTGTCTTCTCTAAGTTGCTCTGAGTCCCATAGCGGGAATAGTAAAACTCCAATAGCAGGGGAGGTGTATCGTTTTTTTCCTTTTTGTGTGTGTGTGTGTGTGTGTTTTTTTTTACTTTTTCATGGTTTATGGCAGTATGCCAGAACCATATTACAAAAAAAAAAAATGAACATGAGAGAAAAAATGGAATGTGTGTTTAGGTCAAATCCATAGTTATTGTTAGGAAAGTTATATTTGGGATTGATGCCATACCTGGATGACACTTGGCAGCTGTAAACACAGTTTTATAAGCAACTAAGTATACACAACGTGTTTTAGGTATTCCAGTTCAGATCTGGTGGTTTGGCAAACAGAATATTGCAGAAAGGGGCTAGACATACCACAGGTTAATTAATGGCAGACCACATCTTTTATTTTTGTTGTATTTGCCTTTTTCCCTGTTTGGGAGAATCCTGATTCGGAATGCTCCCAGTAGGATTCAATAATGAGTACCTCCAGCAAATGTCTCAATTCACAGAAAGACCAAACTGAGCTGTGTAACTATTTGTTGTAGAGTGTACGAGATTACCCTCCCAAAACCTAGTGTATTACTTATATATTATAACATAGAAAAATAGGCAAGGAAATTTGTTAGAGGGACACGAAAGGCACCCATACCGCTTCATCTCAATGAAGTGTTTGGGTGCAGTGTCCCTGGTGTTCTAACCCTGCAATGTTAAACATTTCCATTTTGTGGGCATGACACACGGATCTCAGTCACATGCTGCTCATAGAAAACATTTGACTGGCGTAGTGTTGCATCTTGCCATGCATGCGCATTAGCCCCCCGATGCTTCCCTATCAATCTTGATGAACTCAGCCAGGGAGGCAGCAGCACAGATACTGTTTTGGCAATGGTTTAAAGGTTAAATTGCTTTTTGTTTTCGTCCACAGAGGATCCCAGCTATCTACAATTAGTAGAACATTATAGTGTTAAGAACGTATGTTTGTATTTCTAAGCCTACAGTGTTCTTTTAGTTTTGCAATGTATAGTTTATTTTTTTATTGAAATGTATGTACCATATAAAGTAGTACAGAAGCGATAGAACAATTCAACTCCTAACAGAGTATTTACAAAACACTGATAATGTAATCTGAGTTTTCATAAACTGGCTTTGTTATTCACTAAACTCTGAATTGTATGAAGTTAAAATCCAGATTGCAAAAGTTAGTCTAAAATAGCCAGGCTCTTGGAATTCAGTGAATAACATTAATAGTATTTAAATATAATATATATTTTCATATCTTTCATGTTATAAAAAAAAAGAGGAAAAACTTCACACAAAAAGCCCCTTCAGTAAGCTATCACGATTTAAGGGTCTGGCGTGTCCTTTTAACTCTAATGCACATTCTGGTTTGTAGAGACACTTGGACATTGCACAACTTCTCAGTTCTTGTTTGCCTCTGCTGCATTTTTCTCTGCAATACTCACAATGGGGAAATAAATCACCATTATTGTTTACATAAATGGACAGTCTACTTCTGTTAGTCAATTTATTTTTATAAGAACATCTATTCACAAATTACTGCAGGATCAGCCTGGTTCAGTAGGGCTGTGAGCGGCTCTTTCTTAGCCTGGCTACACACCTCGGGAAATATTATGCATACAGATCTCTGCTATAAGGGTGATAAGTTTATTACAGGCCTGCACACAGTATCCTATAGAGTTCAGAGGCTGTTTTTGGTACTACACCCAAAGTATTCAGATTATTCTTCAAGACTCTTATAAATATCTGGTGTCTCCTACTTAAAGTGTGAGTGAATAGAATACTCATCTTTCTTTCCAGCGCAGAGAGATAAAGAGTGTCCGTGTGTGTGTGTCAAGCAAACAGGGAGGGCCTCGGAAAATATAGTCATCCCTTCTAGACACTCAAATTGTGCAGTTCTTCACACTGAAACTCTGCACATACAGACCCCAAGCTCCATCAGGACTACTTTCAAGCACTGAAGTGGTCATGGTGTTAGGAGTAACCATTTAAGAGTGGTTCTCACAGAAAATAAGAAAAAGAAAATATTGCAGCCTAAAATAAAATGTGCTACTTTCTGTTTGATGTCCAACGTATAAAAAAAAATGCTCAGTATGTTCCACAGGAATGTACAACTTTATTATGGCTCAACCTAATAGTCATTATGGTACAACAACACATTTAACCCTGATTTCTGAAATATAACCCTGCTGTGCATTACTTTGTTATAAATATATATTCACTCTTTTTTAAATACAAAGTAAAACAAATCAGGAAAAGTCCAATCGCCACCAACCCAGAGTGGCTCTACTCCTCAATCAATAATAAATGAAAAAAGGATTGGGCACAGAAATGGACAGACTCCTGTGTGCTTCAATAAGTCTGCCTTGGATTCTGAACAATTCTGTGCCCACTTCTTTTTTCATTTATTAACTCTTTTGTGCATCTCAGTTTATGTTTTGCCTTTTTTGTTCAGAAGCACCACCTATCTGCTAGGATCATGGAAAGGTTGAAGGTCGAAAACTATCCCAGAGTAAACTTTTGCGTGCCTGTGATGTCGGAATTTGTGAATGTGCACAAGCTCTTGATGTCTTGTTGTGGTCAGATATACTGTGTTTTTTAAGAGAAGTTGGAGAATAATGCTGGTGCACGTGAAAGATTTTAAAAAATATTCATACATTTTACTTAAGTGAAAAAATACACATATGCTGAGGATGACTCGCAAATTGACCCAATTGTGGTGCGACCGAAATATTGTCCTGAACATGCATATTTTTTCACTTGTAATTAGGGTAACATTAAGGCAGAAAAAATGTATACAGATGCTGGTGTCATTTTTATTTTCCTTTCTCCCCAGGTTATGTTGGCCCCCCTGATTACCATTGCACTTAAGCTTTCAAAACTTCAGGAGAGAACAGGACGTGACGCTCCAACTGTCATAACGTAAACAGGAGGAAGCACTGAAAGATTCGGCCTAAGAAATTGATGTCTCTGTCCCCATAATATCATCCCTGTATTGTCTCGTCTGTACAGATTGTGTGTGTTAGTTATCATTCTATGTCTATCATTAACATAAGCTGAAAAAAAGTACAAACATTTGAAAACACAGTTTACAATTGCTTTTTTTTTTCAGTCCCAAATCAGACACAATTTCAATATTGTTTACAGTTTATTTTTTTTTTATTTTATTTTTTTTAGACCCCAATATGTCTGTCTAGGACTAATTCTACGAGTTGGTAGTCAACAAGAGTTATGTTTTTTTCAATTAATAAACTGCAGACGTAATCCTAAAAACCTGTCTCGGGGAACCATCCTGTTCATACAAAGGAAATATTCACAGAAAGCCATAATATCAAATATATAATAAAATGTTTAAAACAAAGTTTGTAAGAGTTGTGTAATACTTAATTTCACCAATATTCTGTTTACTATCTTCGTTCTTTTTATTTATTATTCCTCAAATTTTATATTTTGAAATTACATGGACCATTTTAAAAATGTAGTTCTTGTAATGAATGATTCTCTGTCTCAGACACACACACACTCCCTCTCCCTCTCTCATGGGAATAAGATAGTATAAAATGTTATAGTTTTACATATTAGGACATAATAATCTTAGCAGGTCTTAAAATTAGGTAAATACAATCTCAGATGAGCAAAAACACATGACAATTACACCATGTCATGATTTACTTAACAACAATAAAGCCAAAATGGAGAAGCCATGTGTGAAAACCAAGTACACTTTATGATTCCATTACTTGTAGAACCACCTTTAGCAGCAATAACGAAGGAATAGTTTTCTGTATGACTTTGCCAGTCTCTCTCATCATTGTGGAAGAATTTTGGTCCTCTCTTTTATTACAACATTGCTTCAGTTCAGTGAGGTTTACTGTCATTTGTTTATGCACCGCTCTCTTAAGGTCCTGTCACAGCATCTCAAATCGGCTTGAGGTCTGGATTTTGACTAAGCCATTGCAACATCTTGATTCTTTTCTTTTTCACCTATTATGTTGTAGATTTGCTGGTGTGCTTGGGATCATTGTCCTGTTACATGACCCAATTTCAGCCAAGTTTGAGCTGTCTGACAGGTGGCCTCATATTTGACTCTAGAATACTTTTGTCTACAGAGGAGTTCATGGTCGACTCAATGACGGCAAGGTTCCCAGGTCCTGTGGCTGCAAAACAAGCATGACTGTGTATATGTGTGTGTGTGTGTGTGTGTGTGTGTGTATATATATATATATATATATATATATATATATATATATATATATATACACAAACACACATCTCCATCTCTTTGATACAGTGACAATCGGACCACACTATTAGTTGAGAATATTCTGTGCAAACTCCTGACATATCTGACACACCTCTTAATAATTTTTTTCCAGGGCTCTTACTCCTTGCATGCAGACTACAAGGAGGCAGAGCTAGCTTTCATCAAATGAAAGACTAACAGACAAAGACATACTTGGTTGCCATATTACTGAGAGGGAGGTTAGGAAGTCCACCCCTCTGTGTAAATCGCACCATCCCAGATGGATTCAGTGGTGATTATTATAAGCTACTTACCACTACCTTGTGCATATACACGTGGACAGAACCCCTTTGGCTTCCTCTGACATAGCCATCGACCCCCTTATCCACCAATTCCAGCTAACCCTGACTTTCTTGGAAGTAACCGTCAATAACTATATTGTAAAATGGTATTTCAGTCTCTAACCTTTTAACATCTCTGCCATCAATTTTACAACTTAGCTCTCTCTTAGAAAGCTTTGCACGTTCTACTACCTGCAGTTCTGCCATCATTCACTACACCAGCCCGATACAGATACACAACTCTAATTATAAGCGTACTGACACCATGCTGAAGACAAAACCGGTATAATAAAACATTTTTTTTACCCATGTTTGTGACGGTGAGTAACACGGCTAGTTAGGTCAGGATGTGAAATTTAGAGCCCTGGCTCTTGAATACTTTAATACAATCTTTGCTGACCCTCACCTTGGTAAGCGGGGAAAAGGTTCAGAAATGACTAGGATTTGTCAGATCCATCTTGTTTTTCTGGGCACATATTCTCATTTATGGGCAGCACACAAAAGGTGCTGCCTGGCAGTTGAGAAGGGGTAACATTCAAACACTGCAAGTAAGTAATCAAGTCTTGAATTTTATTAAAGGAAACGGAGGCTCATGTTATGCTCAAGCTTTCTTTAGTACTCTGCAGCAAAGAAAGGATATTGTATATATTCAAAGAAAAACAAAACCGCATGTACCTTAAAGGGTTAACCACATGTAACGTGTTATCCAATGAGAGTGTTCCTAGCACAATAATGTCCCATGTGACCTTAAGCCACTCCTCTTTCTTTGCTGCTGCCTCCTCAGCTAAGTAAAAATTTTTCATAGCTCTGTCTTAATTTGGGCAATTTTAATTACTGTATTTATGTCTAGTATATTACTGCCTTCTTTCCACAGTTTTGCTTGGGGGCACGATTAAGCCGTTTTGATGGCTGGGTTTCTGGGCAGTTTACCGGTGCCACCCAGGAGTTCATTCCTGAGGGAACACTCGGTGAGCCTGCTTGGTTTTTACACTGTGCCTTCATTTTATTGTATAAATCTGTGCCTGGTATACTTGCCCTTTCCACTGCACTCCCCAGTTTCTGTTACTGTGTAGGATCTCCCTATTCTGTGTCCCTTACATAGGAGTTTTTTCTGTCACACTTGTGGGAAGTAATTACTTTGCCATGCAGTCAGGTAAAGAGGTGGAAGCTTCCGCTACTGGCTCTTCCGTCTGTGCCACCAAAACCCTTGCACCCTTAACGGTGTCTAGGCCATCCACATTAGATGAAGCGTCACAAGAGCAAATGAACTCTGAGGAGTTCCATGCGCTCCGAGACGCTAAGTCTGTGACGCAAGCCATCTTTACTATGAGGGGTCATGTCAGATAATCTGTCCCACTCGACCACTCATGCACTGATGTCCACCAAGTGTCCATCTACTTTTGTTTCTAACCCCCCAGAGAGTAAACCGTTGGCCCCCCTGAGGGCATAAATCCACCCAAAAATCTTGCCATTTGGACAAGGATGCTTCCAAAAACTTGCAGACGGACAGGGTACGTCCTGTCATAGAGGACGTGGTTGCACCACAACTAAGAGCAAAGTCAGTAAGGAACTGGAAGAGGGCTAAAGCCCTAATCAATTCTTCCAAATATGAATCGTAACAAGAATCGTCATTGAGCGAGTCCGATGAGGAGGACTCTTATGACTCCAGTGTTTATTTTACTGAGGACGGCTCCTTGCCCGTACCTGGAGAGGACCCCAAAGATGAGAAGATGGCTCCACCCTTCTTGACCCTCAGGGTGAACCGCTCTTTGACCCGTATACCTTGCATCATCCGAGATCCTCAGAGTGGTACCCCCTAGATTTCGTGGCAAAATACGTCGCCGCTCGTATTAGGAAATCGCTTGACAAGGTGTCACGGAATAAGCCCCGGGCAGAATGCCCGTGCCCCACTATTCTTGATATGGCCTGTGTTACCCCTGATGTGGTCCCAAAAAAAAAAAAAAATCGCCCAATTTTTGGGCAAATCAGGTTGGAAGGCAAAGAAAGGCCTGGATTTTGCCTTGTGGAACTGCCAGAATAAAATCCGAGATGTCCTTGGACCGAGTGCAAAAATATTCGACTTGGTCAAAATGGCACTGGCAGGTGGTACACCTGCAGATTTGTTAGCCATCAGGGGGTGGATCCAGTGATCAGTATGTTTGCTGGTCAATGCCAATACTGCAGAAGCCATTGAAAGACGCATGGCAATTCTAATAAAAATAGAGCCTAAGCTGGTAAACCTAACTATCTCAGAGCCTGGGCCACAGGCAAAAGGCCTCCTGTTTGGAGATAACTTTTTGAAAGAGTTTTGCACATATGTAGGTACCTTTACGGCACTTCATAAGGCACAAGCCAGCATGAAACGAGTGTTCTCCCAGAGAGTTTTTGGCGGGGCCGGCAGATATCCAGGCCGTCTGCCCGGCCGTTCATACCGGGCTTCTCGAGGCTCCAACCACTCCAAGTTTCCAGCGCCTGAGTCCAAGTCCACTTCACGGTTCTTCCCAGTTAGGGGCAGACCTTGGCAGCCTCGTGGACCCAGAGGTTCTTCCTATGGCAGACGGCCTTATGGTAAGTTTAATTCCATATCACCTGTCTTCAATAACAATAGTGGAGGGCAGACTGTGTCATTTTGTTAATGCCTGGCGCAGGCTCACTTCAGATGCTTGGTCCTCCACACTATCCGGGGTTACTCTATAGATTTTGTGCAACACCCTGTTCAAACGCAGTTCCCCAACCGTATTGTGTTCTCCACACACGATCTGTACCTTGTGACAAAGGAAATACAGTCCTTAGCCTCCAAGGGCTCAATCTCAGCAATTCACCTTCACACTCCAGGTTTCCTAAGCAACCTCTTCCTGGTCCCCAAGAAAGGTGGAGCTGTTCTACCAGTCATCAACTTATGACTCCTAAATGCTTTTGTTACATACCAGCATTTCAAGATGGAAGGTATACACTCTTCGGGACCTCCTGCTTTCAGGGGACTTGATGGTCAAATTCGACCTAAAGGATGCATACCTCACTGTTCCGATGGCCGAAGATTGACATAAATTTCTACAATTCCAGTGGGAGGATACCATGTGGCAATTCAAATGCCTTCCATTTAGTCTCTCTTCGGCACCTCGGTGCTTCACAAACCTTATAAAACCAGTGGTTGCCCTTCTACACAGCAGAGGAGTTCGACTCATAATATACTTGGACGATATCCTCATAATGGCACAGGATCCTCACCTGCTCACCTACTACCAACATCCAAAGTCAAGTCCATCAAAAAGGAAATTCACCAGATGTTAGCACGTCCTGTTCTTACCCTGAAGCAGCTGGCCAGAATTATCGGCCTTCTCTCAGCATCGATCCAAGCCATATTTCCCGGCCCGCTGCACAAAAGTGCATTTCAACATCTAAAGGCCAAGTACCTTCGCTTGGGTCACTCTTATTCAGACTCTGTTCCTCTCGACTGCACAGCCAAAGAAGAACTCGTGATGGCTACAACACATGGAACTGGCGAGCGATCTTTGGAACCACTCCGGACTTCGTAGTAGAATCCGATGCAAGTACGCTCGGCTGTGGCACGCACTGTGGGTCCTACCTTCACTGGGGGAAAATGGTCCCAGGAGGAACAGGGACTACATATCAATTGCCTCAAACTGCTAGCAGGCTAATTTGCCCTACGGTGCCTCTTGGTGTGTCGACCAACTGCTCCATCCTGTTACGCATGGACAGTGTATCAGCAGTTCATTACATCAACCATCTTGGGTGCACAAAGTCAACAGTCTTAGTGGATCCAGCAAAGGAATTCTGGCAATTCTGTCTGGATTGCAATTTTTAACTGCAGGAGGAGTACATTCCGGGGATGTCCAACGTAGTGGCGGACTGGAATTTCAGACATCATCGAGATACCAGCGATTGGCGACTGAACCCTTCCACCTTCAGCCATTTACAGTCACTTTGGGGCCTGTTCGCATCACTATTGAACTTCCAACTGCCGAAGTTCTTCAGCTGGAGGCCAGATCCAGAAGCTCTAGCGGCAAATACTTTTATTCACGCCTTTCCCCCTTTCTCTCATTTCTCGGACTTTATTACATCTCAGGCATTACTGGACCTCCTTGATCCTCAACCATAGTTTCCTACACTCATGGAAATGCCCATAGACTTCCCGATGATACTTCCCGAGTATTCTCCGACCTCTTACTGGACCACTGTGGGAACTCACATCCCCTTCTACTCCAGGGACACCTCAAACTATTGTCATGGCTCCTCTCCGGGGACTCTGCTTCATCCCAAATGTTTCACAAGGAACTCTGGACCTCCTGGCAGGAAAGTCCTACCTACATGCCTGGAACTCATGGACTGGTTGCTGCATGGAACAACACGTGGATCCCATATCTGCACCTTTGAGTCATGTTTTGAGGTTCCTTACTTCACTTTTTGACCATGGCCTAGCCTATAGTACAATACATTTATATAGATCAGCTATCTCTGCAGGTCACCAGGGCTGGAACGGACTTCAAGCAGGTAAACATCCATTGGTGTGTCGACTCCTGCGTGGCATCAAATTTGCACGTCTACCACATCCTAAATATTCCTCCTTATGGGATGTTGGCCTTGTTCTCCAACTTTTTGAAAATTGGCCAAAGAATGAGTACCTTTCGATCAACCAACTCACTGCTCAACTGGTTATGCTGTTTTGTCTAATCTCCTGTAAACGTGTCTCAGATGTTCGTGCACTGGACCTTAAGGCACGCTCATTTACGTCAGAGGGCTTTTCCTGTGATATATCGAGACGTACATAGACATCCATTACATTGTTTGTTTTTATCTAGCCTTTCCACATAACGTTAACCTATGTCCAGTGGCCTGTCTCAAGGAATATGAAGCAAGGACCTCTTCAGTTCGAGATCCCAGGTATTCGGATTTGTTTCTAGCGATTCGACATCCACATCATCAGGTTTCTAGTTACCTTATCTCGTTGGGTTAAATGGCGTCAGGTGACATCGACAGTTCCACATAGAGAGCACATTCTGCTAGGGGTGCTATGGCATTGAAAGCTTTCTCCTTGGGATGCAGACTGGAAGACCTCCTCCGTGCTGCTGATTGGTCCCGTGAATCTACGTTTTGGGAATTTTATTTTCGCCCAGTTTTCTCATTTTTCCACTACGGTGGTTGCACAGCTTTGAACTAGCATAATGTGAGCCTCCGTGTCCTTTAATAAAATAAATATACCGGATTTTTCTAATTTCATGACGTAAAGTCATGATTTTATTAAGGACACGGAGGCAAGTATTATCCCACCTGATACTGGTATGTTGCGCCCTCCCTATGGTTATATTTTCACATAACGGGTGTACAATCCTCATGGTAATGTTGTTCATTCATCTGGTTGACTATTACTGTTGATATTACTGATGTTTTGTCGAATTGGACATGTTGTTATGGTTACTAATACACTGTGGATGTGGAATTTAATATCCAGGAACACATTTTACCACTTATTCCTCTGTCTCTTACAGCCTCTAAAATTGGGTTTCACACTGGTCCATGTCAGTCCATACCAAGTTCAAGCGGTTGATTGCCAGTTTCTTCGGAGTTCCGTTGTTGTGTTTTCCCGTAGTCGCTGCTCTTCACATCTAATTGGTCATATGTTCTGTTGGGATGTTCGTCGGCACCATCAAGAAAGAGGAGTGGCTTAAGGTCACATTGGGCATTATTGTGCTAGGAACACTCTCATTGGATAATTTGTTATATGTGGTTAACAGTTTAGGGTACATGCTGTTTTGTTTTTCTTTAAATATCTACAATATCCTTTCTTTGCTGCTGAGGAATAAAGAAAGAGATTAAGCATAATATTTGCCTCCGTGTCCTTAATAAAATCATGACGTTACGTCGTGAAATTAGTAAAAATCTGGTAATTAACCAGCAATATTGCAGTGCTGCCCATCAAAATGTCATGTGTGCCCAGGACAAACTAATGTGTTTGGCAAACCCTATTTATTTTCCATTTATTGACAGAGGCAGGTATTTTAAGCTATTGCGATATCATGTTCTTTTGCAGATGTACACATACAATGTAAATGAATTTCCATGGCAGCTGGATACATTGAATTCCATAGTCTGTGCTGCAGGTGTCAACAATCGACATCGACATCTTTCCCTCACCAAAGCCCTCTTATTGCCAGCATAGCAATGGATTTCTTATTTACCTCTGTCAGCACGAGTAGTTCATCTCATATATCACCTCTAAGAAATATTCTGTCGATTAGAAATACAAACTCTAAAGTGTATCAAGAAAATATATGAATGTAAAGAAAAATAAACATTTATTGATGTTCAATTATGAAATTTAAAAAAAAAAAAAAAAAAGAGTTTGGAATTTATGAAATAGATTTGTGGGTGGAAATAAAAGTGCACACATATATCTAATATTTCGTGGAAATAAAAGGGTTTGCAACAAAAAAAATGAAGTAAAAGTTTTTATCTTCTGGATAAAACTGTGAGTACAAGTTAAATAAAAATAAAAAAACTACAAACCCCATTATTTTATTCCCAATAATGCATCCCTTACTTTTTTAGCATTTGTGATAGTTAAAGTGGCTCTGTCACTTTCTGTGGTCTTTGCATAATTTGCAACGCCCCCCAATGGTGACTTTGCTGCTTGGTGGCCATGGGGTGATGGGGAACCTAAATCTGTCCCTCACGGCCGCTGCCATCTACATCCTTTGGATCATCTTCAGCTCCTTGCGTTTTATCTGTCAGTGTGTTACTCTCTCACATTTTCCTGCAATCCCACATCGACGCCAAGTTCTCCATGCAACTTGAGCCACCTTCTATGGCATCACTCACACTCACTGCAGGTGGAGGGATGTCCCAGAGGGAAGTAGATTTGTGCACAGTAAAGCCTGTGCACAGAAAAGCATTGGGCTAAGCACAAGAGCTACTAAGAGCTACTAAGAGCCTATCATATCTGATAGGCTTTCAGCCTATCAGCGGGTCCCCGTCCGAGGTTTCCTGTTTCAAGCCTCGAACTCCAACGGATTAGGACGGGGAAGCGCTGACCGGAGTCGCACATTAGACTTTGGAATTAAACTGCTCGTTACCAGTTTAATCCCTGAACGTAAGCTGGTGCTGCAACCTCCTGGCACCATAACAACTTAATTCTGATTAAGCTGTTATGGTGTCCAAAGTGTTCCTTTAAAGACCATATGATTCCATCTCTACATTGTGCTACCCACATCTATACATAAAAGATTATACTATATTTTATGTTTTCTGATATTCCTGGGTTTCCAGTCCTCTAACATATGCAGGGAAACCAGCATCTAAGGGTCCATATGTCCCCAAATCACTCGGACACATCCCACAACTTTTAGAAGTTTTAGGATGCCTATCATGTCTTCCGGGGCAGAGTGGATGCTCAAGCAGTCTAGGGCGCCATTTTGTGTGAGGATAAAATCTGCAGCCGGGCTCGATGTTCAGGTAAGCATATTACTCCATATTGCTGCCTGAAATTTGGTCAGCACGATGTATAGATTCTTTCTGTAACTATCTTAATGTAAACCACCATAGACACAACT